AATGCATCATGATTTAGTCATTTCTGGTCCTTTACAGATCTAATAATGGCCTGAACATTTAAGTCTGCAGCCGATTTCGGCGAAAAATGCGGGTTTTTTGGCATCTGATCGCAACCCCGTAAAATTCGCAATTTTCTCCGAAATCGGCCTTCGAACCCATGTTCAGGTCAAAACTAAACCCGGGAGAAAGCCGAAAACAACAAATTCGGTTGATTTCCGTGAAAAGGAGACTTCCAATGAACAAAACATCGTGGAGTTGAGGAAAATTAGGTGGCCATAAAACAGTCCTCATGGATACCCCTCCTTTGCAACTGAGACCATCAATAAAATATGGAGAGTCGTTGTTGAGCGTCATTTCATCTCGAGGAGTGTGCATCGGATCTGTTAAGACGAGTGCGATTAGCTTCATCGGCCGACGGATAAGCCGCGACTGCCTCTATTGTATGTTGCGCCTTGATACACAACTATACATACTCGAAGGTTGTGCGTGTTGCATACAGACCAAGATGAAGGCGCTCGGACTTGATTCACTCTCCAGAGGACTTGTGTCATTGAAATTGCGCTCTTGAAAGTATTCGAAATTCGAAGTAATGAGTCTGTAATCCCACAAGCGCTGTAATTAAATGGCTATCCTTCAAATTTGATAGTGGGAAAGACGCTCATTCAGATCACACATGACCCTATTTGCTCAGCAAACTGGAATTTTTAGCGCTTGTGTGAGTCCTGTTCAGTGGTGTGGCGTGCTTTGCGATATGTCGATTGATCTGCCTTCTGAACCTATGGATAAGCATCGATAAACAGGATGTTTGTAACGAACACCTTAATAATCGATTCTTTGACGTAGCTTCAAATGGAAAAATATCGATAATCGATCATTCACGCCTCACCACTGGTCCTGTTTCTTCTGCTCCTCCAAACTTAGTCGTATAAAATACATTCACTTGAGCCTGTTCCTTAAAAGTTACAAGAATCTTCCTTAAAAAATACAAGAAATGTGGCAACATTACAGTTAGCATGCATGCTGCAATTTAGCGTGGAAAAATGGAGGCGGTTGAACTGGCAAAAAACGTGTCTCGGTGATTTGGCAGGGAATCGTTAACTCATGAGCTGAAAGAATATGGGGGTCAACCCTCAAGCTGTGGCCTGCGGAGGAGGGGGAGATGCGTTTTCACTTGTCACGCCTAGTTGCGTGCTTACCAACCCCATCCAATAATTCGGAAATAATTTTCGTGCGGGGCCACCGATTGCCCTAGGTTTCCGATTAGTAGCTTTTAGGCGCTGCTAACAATAACGCACTGTGGCTTCTCTTTAAATGGGAGCAGAAATTTCTGGATACGCTCCCTCCGCGCATGCTTATGCTTTCCGCACTTGACGCACCTGTGAACCGCCCTCTCAATCTGCCCATCGTCTATGCCATCCTTCAAAACCAAACCCCCTTTACCGAATTTCATATGAGACAACGCAAAACGTTCAACTTCAAAATCTTGCATCTCAACTTGCGAATTTTCGCTTCCTCATAGGCACCGTTATTTGGATAACGTTTTAAAAGAAACTCGAAATGGATATTTCTTGCGTGTGTCAGGGGTTATTGCGTTTTAAGTCATTTTTTGTCAATAAACCTTCCCGAGAAACACGATGGTGCCACTGGTTTTCTCTGAAATCAACACTCAAGCTAAAAAAAACGAGAAGAAATATCCAACATGAATATGTTGAAAAAGCATGCCGAATAACTAAAATGTTGGACACATGCCTACTATTTTCAAGCCACTGCTATTTGTATTAATTGGTACTTTTTGCTAAATATGGGAGAAGATATGGATTCATGAACGTTGAATGTAAATTAATTTTAAAGATTCCGTCCGATTTTATTGATTTCAAACTGATCTGCGGCATTTACGCATGACCGCGATTTGCGGCCAACTGCCACGCATCGAAATCGCGTTGAGTGAATCTCTTTGGATTGAACTGTAACTTCTCTCCTACTGGGCCGATTTTTACAAATGATGTCTCTTTTTATTTGTATTTTAATGAAGAGTAAGGAAACACTTGCTAAATACATGGAAAACAATTTTCACTCTGAGGTCTGGAGGGGGCGGGGCCCGCGAGACTTTACCAACACGAGACTCATCGTAATGGGTACACCGAAAGAGAGAAAATTTGATTTACATAACTCTCTGGCTAAAAGAGTGTGCGAGAAGTTACAAAACGCTGAATTCCTTCCTACAGCAGTCACTTTAGCGATGGTAAAATGTAAAACTACCTCCTGTAACGGGTAGTTCGGCATTTTGTGAGTTCTCGCTTACTCTCTTATCCAGAATGTGAAATCATCTTCACTTTTTTTCGGTGTTTAAGGTGCGGTATGCGTGGACATTACGACAGACGCAAGATGCAAATTAATGTAGGTCTGTAAATATTTGTACATTAAAAAAAGAATCTAACTTCAAATTGAAAAAAGAAGGAAAAATTGAGGAGCAACAGAGTCGAGACGTAATCGGGCCTAGTTTTTCAAATTTGTCTCTCGAATCTGAGTGACACACTTCACTGACAGCAAAGAACGGAGCATTGCGAGTTCACGCGTAGCGCCATCGCGCCTTCAGTTGTGCAGACGCAACACAGACATCCATCAAGTACGAATAGTTGTATCTCTGCGCCGTCATCAACGCGCCTCCTTTTACTCTATGCCCTATTTCCATACTGGGTTTGTTTCAGTTTGTATTATTTGTATTTGCAGCGGTGCTTACAGGCTGTATGAGCGACACAGCCGTAAATATATGTAGAAGAGCCGTAAAAATCGAGCCCCGTTTTTTAACTTTTCTCACGACACCTCATTGGTAGCATAAAGCGGCGCTGCGGAACATCACGAATTCACAGCTCACGCCATTGCGCCTTCAATTTTGCAGACGCAACACAGACATCCATCAAGTACGAATAGTTGTATCTCTGCGCCGTCTTTCCATTTGCTCTAATTCCATATTGTGTTAGTTTCGTTTGTCTCGTTTGTAGTGGTGCTTCAAGGGTTACGTGAGCAACGCAGCCGAAAATAGGATGTGTCCTAATCAATTATCATTTTGAAAAGAAAAAAATGTTGGAGGTCTCTCGAGCGATTAAAAGGGTGCACGCGAAAAATTGACTGTACTACCTCTGAGAGTAACACATGGCGGATGACGAACGGGGGGTTAAAGCATCTCTATGTCACCAAAAAGGTGAAAATTTCAAGAAAATAATTTTTAACCGATCTTAGAAATTGCATGTATAGATATTTTGACACCTGATAAAAGTTCGAGAGCTATTTTGATTCCCTCGCTTAATGACGCTCATCATCCCCTTTTCGAAAACCATGATCGAGAACAATTTTCAATGCCTCCAAGCTTGCGAAGCGCTTTCAGGCAGGTGTATAGGAAAGAATTGTCATATTTTTGAGATTTTGAAATTTCTATAAGTTTCGTGCTGATTTTTTAGTGATGTGGCTGGGAATTGGGAAGTTTAATGGACCACTTGACAGGGTACCTACGAATTGATTGCAGTCTAAAAAGCTCTACGAGTCCGCTGGACCCCGCCATTGGCGAAAAACGCGGGGTTGGTGAAACGGTCAAAAAGGAGTGTTTTTACCGTTTCTCGCCTCAGGAAGCCTCGCTAAGCCTCGGGACCAGGCGCAATCGATTCTATGCCACAATTATTTTTACGGCTAGTTTCTAGACATAAATTCCAACTCCCATTACTTACTGTACCTCATACTCGTCTGTATCCAACTAATTTCGGATTTTTTTGAAAATCGAGCCTATTTATTCGTTTATTTTTCAAAAATTTGTCATTGAATGATGGATTATTTCACAGAAAGATTGTATATCACTAGCCGTTCTGGAAGCGCTTTGCGCGTCCGTCACGGCCAGCCAAGGGGCTGCGCCCCCTGGACCCCCGATCACTCGCTACGCGAGTGTCATTCGTCTCGCTCCGCGAGCCATTTTTCTCAGTGATTGGACATTTGATCACTAAGATGTATACATTTTGGAGACTCTGGACTTCTGGAGGCAAAATTGATTTCGTCACAAAACCTTGTTGCCGGAGCGTGCCATCATTTGCACATGAATAGATGTGTGGAGATGAAACGATGATGGGGATCGATCATTTCTTAGAAAACGCATTTGACTGGGACGTAATCTCATCGGAAAAAAGACAATTCATGGATCTTTTTCCGCGATTTGACTTGCGGAAGTAGCAAAAGTTCATCTTTACCTCTTAAGAAGATTATCGGTGGCGTAGGGGTCTAAAAACTGCTCAACGATAGTATAGTTCGAGTCCCGAATCGCAATGAGCCCACTCGTGTTTTTTTCTTATACCTACTTTCATCGCATATAAATTTCTTTGATGTTTTTGTTTTATTCTCTCTGATTGCATATGAGTAATCATATCCTCATTTCATTTCCTTTCGCTTTCCTTTTTCCCTTTCTGTAGCATCTATGTCCATTTAGAATTATTATTTTAAAATAGCTTTTCCCTAGTATACAATTGATGCTTCAAACGGAATCATTTGTTTTAATGAAATTTCCGGCTAAATCATGGGTTTTCCCAGGAAGGCAGCCTCTCATCCTCATCCCTCCCGGACTCTATTGTTGTCAGATAAGTTGCTTTTTTAGCACCTTTCCCAATCCAAATCCATGTAAAATATTCACATTTATCGCACAATCTGGCAATCTCTCGAGTGAAATAGAAAAAGGTGGAATCGCTGAAAGTCTGAATCCTTTGAAGTTTATATTAATGATGAAGATTCCACCACAGACAAATTTTGAAGTTTATCATATGAGAAGGCTCAAGAAACTTTAATTTTGTAGACACGCGTTCTCTGTCCCGGTAATTGTGTTTAAAAAAACGATTTTGCACCCTAACATGAAGCAAGAAATTTAGAAATTAGGATGATTTGCTGAAAGTATTTGTCAATTTATTTTATTTTTATTTTTTTTTTATAAGAAAAGTGAGGAAAAACCAATTAATGAAAACAAATCTATCATTGGAATACCATCAGGGAGAGTCTATTTATACTATAAATTACTGATACAAACGGGATTAAAAAAGTAGAAAAGTAAAAAAACAATACAGTTAGAAAAGATAAACGAAGGTAGTAAATCTAAGAATCAAATACTGAATTATCTAGAAACGAGGAAGGAACGAGATATAAAAAATACTGTTCTCAAGGAATATTTCAAAAACAAGAAACATACAAACGAGCAAAGATGAATCAACAAAACAAATCTTGCGCTAATTGATAAAAATAATTACTTACAAACTACTTAAAACAAATGATAAAATCCAATAATTATCGATAATCTGTATATACAACGGTGACATCAGTTTTTTGTTTCCCTTACACTTGAGGCTACTTTAGCAAAGAGGACATAACCTTCTGAGACTCCTGATGCAAACAATTGTTCAGTCAAAATTTGATTAGGACTGGTAAAACTAAATTTCATTTTTGAATTACCCGAGTGCATGTTTTTGTATTGTAAAAAGGCCTCTGATACAGTGAATTATATATTGAAATGCAATATATAATAGTTACATTCTTTCCTAAGACTATTATCTCAAGTTCACGTAGGTACTTTCTTCTTAATAGAGTGCAAGAATTGAGGTGACACAGAGGAAGAAGTTCACAATTGATTACAATTTATCTGCATCCTCCAATCTACAAATTCTTACACAAATGTTTCTTCTTTTGCAACACACTTGTTGTGCACACTTCATTATAAAATGCACAGTTCAATCACTGAGGGCAAAGGGGGGAAAAGATTTGCTCCTGTTAATGGACAGTTTTGATTTCTCGGCAGGATTACAGCTGTGCCAAAAAAAAAAAAAAACTCCGAATAAACATTTGAATGTTGCCAAATTCACTCTTAAAAAATACTTACTCTTACGGATTGTTATGCACAATTTTCATTAACAATTTTTTGCCACTTTAAATCAAATTCTCTGAAAATTTTCAAGCAAACTACTTAACATTTTTCCAAAATTTTGTAAGTTGTCGAAGGAAATTTGGCAACGTTTGAAGGCTCATGTGACGTTTTTCTTTAGCGCGGAGGAATGGAACTCAAGATAAAAGTGGTGAGTAGCTTGACTTATTCAAAACTCTGTAAGTCAATCACAAAATACTAATATCTAGAGGTTTAGGAATGCTCTTTTAATTTATTTGAGCTTTTCTGAAAACATTCTTGAAGAATATTACATTTCCCATGAAAAGATTTTAGCTGACGTAGGAACTACGTCTATTGTCTTTGCCCGATTTTATGTGATAATATCTTCACTACATTTTACTGTCAAAATACTGTATCCTGATTGATAAAATACCTATTGACTCACAACTCACAACCAATGGTCTGAATTAGTCTCATAACCAATCGAACTGCACCATTGTGGTTAGAGTTAACCTGTCTTTTTGGATGGTTGAAAACTGGAGTGAAAAGAAAGCATTATAAAAGAATCTTAAAAACAAGTCTTTCATGTGATACAATGTAGAGATATGAATCGCTAGCATTGCCGTTTTTATCTCTTTATAGAATATCAGCTCTACTTCAAATGAATTCAAACGGATTAAAACATAGAGAAAAATGTTTGCTTATCATTATTTTCTTCTCCTTGAACGACGTTGTTTCTAGATCGATGTCATCAGATAGGTAAAAAGTTGAGGAACCTAATTCATTTTTCTTTTCTTTTATGTGGTAAGCAGCTTTGAAGGACTTTCTAATAATTGGTTGTAGTTTTAATTAAAGTTCTAAATTTACAATTATGTAACTGACTTATTTTTCCTGTACAGCCATTTGATTTAGTCGGTAAAGATTTATGAATCACTTGCTTACAAATAAAAACGAAAATGAAATAAGCTTACAAGTTGTCCACGGCTGGTTTGAGAGTTTTGAGTGTTTCAAATTGGCTTCAAAAGTTCAGAGGCAGAAAAATATAGGTGCATGGAGAAAGTCCCTTGAATATAATTTGTTTACAATTTCAACCTCTAAACATGACACACCTTAGATTCCTTACTGAGCATGGCACAAAATTAAAGTTTGGGAACTTTTAAAGTATACAACCCCTTATTTCGAAACAACTCAAAAAGTTAAGAAACAAACAAGCTGATCGATGAACAAGCAACAAATTAAACGTATATACAATAAACAACTTTTTTTGAAGATGTAAATATTAAATGAATAGGTAGGTTGGTCTTTCAATAATAATAATAATAATAATAATAATAATAATAATAATAATAATAATAATAATGGGGGGGGGGGGGTTCCGTCTTTTAGGCGTGGTGAAAGTCATAATAATAGTAATAAAAAAAGAACAACCATGCGTAATTTCACTGAAAAACAGCAATGAATTGTACATGATCTTGAATTGGTGAAAAAGGAATAATCATACCAACGACAAAGGTAGAATGCAAATCTAAAATTCACAATCATAAGTTTTTATGATTGGAAATTAAGAGGAAGAGAGGTCAAAAAAATTAAGAGTTTGAATGACAAAAATTTACTCCATGAAAATTGAGGAGTTTGATGCAAGCCGACTTTCAGGTAAAAAAAGAACCTTGAGCTGAAGGCTCTCTTGCACCTACCTCCGCAATGGACCACTGGACAAAATACGAATGAAAGCATTCTTACACATGTTTCCTGCTTAAAATTCCAGATAGAACACAACTTGGACAATGAAAATTGCTAAAATTACTCCTGACCGAGATATTTAATGTTTTTTTAATGTTTTCTGATGCAAAAATTCAAACCTTCTACTCAAGAAAAAACAAAACTTTACCCCCAATTAAATCGCACACTATACATTGCAGCAATAAGACTACTTGCAAAGACTTGCAGCATGGAAATATGCCGGCCTCAATCTTGGCCCTGGTGGCTCGGTGGTTGCACGTTGTTTACACTTTAAACAAAACAGGGCAGAGAGGGAACTTTGCTTGATTAGGAAGCCCACCACAACCGTTGTAGTGCACCATTTGACTCTTGAAAAGTATTGTTTTTCATTTGAACAGGCAATTCAGATTTACCAATATCACTGCTAACTGAAAACATTCATATCTTACTTTGCAGTTACTTTAAGCAATTTTTGTTACCCGAATCTAATTCTACGTAAAATTCTAATAAAGAAGCAAGTATCAGAAAGCTGCTAGAGGTATTTTTCAAATCAAATCCAAGCATTTAACCTATTTAAAGGACAGACAAAGCTTGTTTTGTATTTGGCAATGATATGTCTTTGGTCTTTAGTTTCCTTGCCGGAAATCAAGACTCTTAAATCAAGAAAAGATTTAAATAAGAAAAAGGGGAAACACAGAAAAGTTGATGGAAATTTGTGAATTTTTAAATGTTAAGAAATAAAGGAAGACTTTTTCTCAGTGAAAAGTAAATGAGGAGAGAAAAAGATCATTGTGGATGTCGGCGCCAGTTTTTGACTTAAGCTACCGTTGTCTTAAAAAGAACTCTAGCGATTCTGTATTATGGCTCCATTGAGAGACATGAACCATTGAGAAAACAAAAGCAAGCAAATAATCGGACAAAAATTGGCCTTACACTAAATTAAGTATTAAGGTTTCAAAGGATTTTTTTTGCCAAGAAAATAAAATTTAGCCCTTATTAAAAACAAAAAAGATCTGAGTAAAAAATAAAGGTCAGAGAGATATTAATGAGGTTACAAGCTATTCGATTTGAATTATGCTGCTTTTCAAACAGTGCTCATGCACACAGGAAAGACAGTGGCATACTGTGAAAACAGAACGCGGTGGATAGACATTATTTAAATGGCATTTTAAAAGTGGTTATAGCTTGAAATTTTGAGAGTTTATTCGTTATACCCAAGGTGCATGAATTAAAATATCTGGATCTTGGGTTTTTTGATTGTCAGCAAAAAAAAAAAACACGAGGGAAAATTCTGTGGCCAAAATGCAGTCATTAAAAAAAAATATGTTGGTTCCAGTTAAAGGCATACTACGGCATACTTTAGTTATTAGACTCTTTGTAACAATTGTAAAGAAGCTCCTCTCTAGTTCACTTTATATGAAACGAGAATTTTGGTACATTCAGAGTTCAGTTAAGATAGATGGCTTATAATTACAGACGTCTCACTATTTATCCATCTTTGAATTAGACAAATATTGAATTGTGTCGAGAGAAAACTGCGAACGCCCATTTTACCAGCTTTGATATTTTGCATTAATAATACCTTTCAAGAGTCGATACAATCATAAAGTGGTGTAAAGTATATGGATACAGTTGAGCAAAACAAGTCACATCTGTGTTGCGGTTTCAAGATCTCATCCGATAGTTTAATGTTTTGGAAGGAAACTAACCACCATCCTTACTCAAAAATTATTGCAACTTTTCCTGCCCGAAAGCTACATCCCCAAAATTTTAAGCAAAAATGTTGGTTGGCTTCCTTTCGAAAAGTTAGAAGAAAAAAAAAAAAAAAACCGGAGATGTATCAGATTTTGAAAAATCAGAAAGTAGATGTGACTGTTTTGCTGAACTCTATTCCTTTAGGAATTAAAGTAGGTATCCCTAAAACGAGTCTTTACACCACTTTTATGATTGTATCTAACCTGGAAAAATATGTTTGATCAAAGCAAACTCAAGACTGGTGAAATGAATGCACCCAATCTTGAGTTTTGATAAAGATACAATTATTTCTCCGACTCACTCTTGTCTTCACAATTTGCAACTAAAAACTTCCCTCTCGGTCTACTGGTGGGTGAAAAATATTGCATGAGGCTTTCATTTCCCTCTAGTCTTGGACTAAAAAGGGGTAATCAAACTAAAAATAAAATTATCATAATCAAATCAAAACCCTAAAAAAAAAAAAAAAATTAGAATAGCACAAGTTACGCTTTGGAAGTTGATGGAGCGGTTTCTTTTGAACTACCAGCTAATCCAAGGACCTCTTCACAAATCTGTTTATAACACCATGAATCTCCTTTGAGCCTCTTGCGCCGAATTCCAACTATTGTCGATGTAAGATTCGATGATCCAGCGATGGACGGAATGAGACAAACTTCTAATTCAAACGATAATTTGCAACTTTTTCCTTGCCAAACATCTGCTTTGCCTCTTAGCATAAATCTGTTGTAACAAGACCATATGATGACCGTTAGAGTTTACGACAAATATTTTAAAGCTTGGGAATATGATATATTAGAGTGACAGTTTCTTTAGTTATTCACACTGTTAACTATTTACACATAGCAATTATCCCAGATTTGCAGGAAGCTTGAAATTTTAAGAACAATGAAATAATTTAGAATGAAAAATTACTTTCACTGAAATCTAATACACAAAATATTATAAAGCATGTTTATAGGGATGGGTAAAACAGTTATCTAGTTATTATGTATCTCTCAGCAGTCACTAAAAGCTCTCAAGCCTTCTAAATTTTCATTTCTGGTAACGCTTAGTTCTGGCATTATACCGGGCAAATTTTCATGATTTTAGCGGCTATCTACAGACAATTGTCTCTAGAAGAGCCAGCTTTATTCAGATTTTTTGCATATGGCCCAGGTTTTTGTACATGACATGGTGAAGTCGCAAATTCTCCCACTTAAACAATATAAATTTTTGTTTTCTGTCATAGTTCGTTCAAGCCTCCTACTGGGCCGATTTCCATGATTTTGGGGCTATTGACAGATGATAGTCTCTAGATGAGCCCGCTATAATCAGATTTTGGAAGTAGGACCCAGGTTTTTTTAAATGAGAGTAGACCAAGGAGCTGAGAGAGGGGGCAAAATTTGAAATTCCCGCCAATGAAAAATGGCTCTATTCCATTCGTTCCGTCTCGTTTCAGTCTTGGCGGGAAGTTTGAAATAAATGCAGATTTTTTTATTCCATTCTTATTAGTCCAATTGCTTCCAGCCAACGGGAGATTGGACAAATGAGTCAGGTATGAAAATCATTTCATTTTTTTGGTCGTTCTTTTGTCAAATCGGGCCTAAGAGAGCGCAAAGCGCACTATAGGGGTTGGGCCGCGTAGCGGCCAAGGGGTATAGCCTAACCCTAGTTACTACTGTATGTTGAGTTTGATGGCTATTTTAATTCTATTGAAGACTTATGATAATGTCATGAAAGAGGTGTGAACAAAAAAGACAGGATTCAAACAAACAAATCTTACCCTTTGGCTTTGCTTTCAATCCCTTTATTTGCCAAGGCTTGTTTCAACTGTTCTAGAACTTCTGTGGGGTTAGAGCTAGATGCTGTCGATACATTTAGTAAAGCCTAGAGTGTACAGATGAAAGAAGAATTAAAATTTGTTTAGGGAACACTTAAAGGACTTCATTGAAAAACTCAAATTAGTTTCAAATCTGTTAACTTGCCAGAATTAAATGTGATCAGATCTGTAAAAAGGGACCATATGGAGGGATTTTCCGTGACTTTTTGCAAACACTTGAACCACATTCCTTGACAACCTCAACATATTTGTCTTGAAGCTTCAGAACTAATATCTCCTTCAATTTTTGAGATTTTAGGGTCAAACTTGCGCCAAAATATTATAGATTTTCCTCCTCTGCACATTTGAAAAAAGTGAAGGCAAATTCTCTCCCAAAAGATACGGCCTCTTTTTTGCAGATTCAGTCACAAATATATTCTGTTAATAGACATTAAAAATCAGAGCAAATAATTATGAATATAAACTTAAAAAAATAATGACGCAACATCAGACAATTCAATTTGTGAGCATCACTTATTTCTGTGGTGAGTTTCATTTGTTCAGTAGAATTTCAATGCCTGAAGTAAGTCCATTTAAAAATATTGCATAAATGTGTTACCCAGCAACACAAAAAAATTCACTCAATAGTCATTGATTGCAGGGTGCAGTTTTGTCCATTATACCAATGCACCAACCAAATTGCAACCAATTGCTGTAACTAAGAAGCTTGAAAATTCTTTTCTTCAGAGTTTAAATGCAAAAAAGATCTTCATTTTCAAATTCCCCGAATTTTCCATGACTGTTTTTACATTAAAATGCAGAATTTGCACAATTTTTTCAATGTAAAACTGATACATTTGTTTTGGTTCTGAGAGGACAGAAAAATTACTTCCTTTCTACTACTTTTGACTACTGAAGCCGAAAATGACACAGCTTTTTCTAGGATCTGCCAGTTTTCTAAAAAGACGCATTTTATGCCACCGAGAAAAGCAATTTTTTGGATAATTTATCTGCATTATATAAAAAAAAAAAAGAGGTCGTTTTCGACTTCAGCGAAGGAAAGTAAGTGAAAGAGGCATCAACGGATACCTAAGTAAAATTTAAGTTTCCTGTCCTTTCAAATGCAAAAAATTGATGGACAGAGTGCTAAACAATGTATCTCCATTTGCAACGTTGCAGACTTTCCGTCTTACTTTATTTTTCTTTGAAAAACTAGTTAACGCAATTTCTTAGGGTCTCAGTTGACTTTTCTTCTCTGATAGCAGAATTTTCTGTTTAAGTTCAAGCTATGAAGAAAAATAAAATAAGAACGGAAATTTTGAGACACTGCAATAAAGATACGTGGCTTTACACTTCGGTCATTGAAATGTATCAGTTTTACATGGTGGTGTGCGGTCGGATTAAGTGCTATTTGATAGGAAAAATTTCCTTTGTCTGACATGGCAGGAAAAATTTTTAGGCATTCATAATTGGGTCAGTTGAGTTAGTTAAAATATCATGTTTCGATGCTTAATTTTTGTAGATAAGCTAAGAATAATAGGAACAGTACAAACAGCAACTATCTACGTTCAATATTAACCGAGATATCGCCCTTTGAAAATTCCAGTTTTCAATGTCATCCACCGTAGTAGGGACACCCTTGGTTTCTTCCACCTCGCTTTCATCAGTCAGTGTGATGGACATTTGTACAGGTTACTCAACGTGAAATTCGAATGAAAGCAAGGTGGAAGAAACCAAGGATGTCACTTTTGCGATGGATGACATCATAAACCGAATGTTTCAAAGGACAATATCTCGGTTAATATTAAACATAGAAAGTTGCTGTTTGGACGGATCTTAATATTTTCATCTAATCTACAAAAATCAAGCATCAAAGCACGATTCTGTGACCACCGCAATTGACCCATTGTTTCCTGATGTATTCATGGCAATTAAATCTGTATATGACCTTTGACACCTCTATAATGTAGAAATTTTCTGGTAAATCACATTCTCCAACAGAAAATCTATTTTTTTAAGGAAATTCTTAATTTCTAGAAAACTGGTTGGTAAATGTGGAACACCAAAGTAATTGTTCAACTCAGCACTAAATATTAAACATATAACTGCTACCAAACGCCCAGCAATATCTTTGGAGCAGACCTAAGCTGCCGTGCCATGGAATAACGTTGTATAAACATTTGGACGGAGTTAAACAGAAAAGAACCGAGCCACATCGGGATCGAACTAAGAAAAAGAGGTTTAAAGTATGGCTCCTGCATAAGACTCAATGTAAAAGATAAACTTTAAGTTCAATTTCTGCAAAATTTGCTCCATTAAAAACTTTGAATTTTTGGCGATAGATAGAAGAGCAGTGGTTGAGTTCAAAAGCACTCATAACTCAATTTTTTCCAAAATGTGGGTTGGTTCCTTTCTGCTTATCTCAGTCTATTTGAGAGTTACCAAATTTCCTTTGAAAAAACGTTCATTTACAGAGAGAGTGGTGAGTATTTGCTCTTGAAATTTTCAAATAATTTAGATCTGATTATGATTGAAATTTGAAATTCACTGAAAAATTGAAGAAAAATATTCCCAGATTTCTGTGAAAATTCAAATTTTATCAAGGGACGTCTGAAGGCTTGTACAGCATTCTCCCTTAGAACGTCAGTACATTACACTTTGCTGACTGGAAAAAATTAGTGTTCAACTTACTTTGCCAGCAAGTACGGCTGGTTCCAATTTAGTAGTTCCTTTCTTTCGAGGCGTCAACACCTGCCTAACTTGATTGAATTTCTTTTCAATATTTGTTAAAAGTTTGTAAGCAGAACTAGGAGTGCTGGGCGTTGCACTTGGAGCAGGAGAGTTCGGACACCTGAAAAGGACAAACCTCAATTAAGTTAGGTTCATACTGAAGACCAATTAAATATCAGAAAAATATGAATATTTAAATGGTTGGTGGCACCCACTTTTTTCGATCCATTATCTGAAAGCATGGAGTGAACTAGGATCTTAAGAATTTTTCAGATTTTTTTTAACTCTGAATAACAAAAAAAAACCTATTTTGAAAATCCCAAAATTGGGAGGAACGACGTTTGCTGATTGGCTGAACTCATATTCAGTCATCGCCTTACTACATCTACTCAACAGTCGGCAACTGATTAGTTAGATTTTGATTAGCTTCTTTTCCTCCTAGAAACATATCTTGACATTTTTTTAACGGAATTTTCAATGTTTCCACAAAATTGTACAAACAAAAAACTACACTAGGTACAACCATGGAAAAATGTCCTGCCACTGACCCATTACCACCACACGTCTGTTTTTACAAAAACTATGATCCTCTCCTTGAAACCGATTATTGAAACAGTGGGCTTCTAGACAAGATATAAAGTAAAGTACTATGCAACATGGTTTCAAACGGGTCACATGATGGAAAGTCTGGAGATCAACTCCTCAACGAGATACATACGATTATAATTAAGATCGGAAAGAATACAAATGGCGTCATTTGTATAATCAAACACTTGATCTGTGTTAAAAATATGTAACTGTTGATATCTGGTTCAGAAGTTGATTGTCGAACTTACCATTGTGCATTTAGTGTGTGTCTTCTACATAAGATTAGGGAGAGAAAGCATGCTACTTTTTTCTAGTTCAGATCTTCCCTAGTGACCCATTAGGCCTAATTTTTAGATAGTCTTTGTATTTTGACACTTTAAACAATCTTCAAAAATTGAAAAACTTCACCTTGGCAAGATAGCTATTAAGTAAAACTAGGACAGAAATTAGCAATAAAAATAGAATTTAAGTTCTGTGTACTAAAACTGAATGAATCTCTTGAAACTATGTATTCTTTGTAGAAAATAAAAAATAAAAGATCTAACTGGTCGTGCAGTGGATGAACATTACCTCGTTGAGTTTTCATTGCTATCAGAGCTAGCAGCATACATTTTCCTTTTAACTGGGGTCGCAGCGACAGGAGCTAGATGAAAATGAAAACAATTGGTGAAAAAACAGTCTTTAAGATCAATACAATTGACAAGATGATTAAAAGTTTCATTACCGCTGGCCAGGTTGACCTAGTGGTCAGCGCGTCTGACTCTAGGTCAATAAGTATGGGGTTCAGATCCTGGAAGTGGCATTTAATTTTCACGGAACTGACGAGTGGATCTGTAGATTCTGCTCGGCCTTAATCCCTGAAAATTTGAAAGACTGGAGCATGAATGTCCCTATTGCTCCGTCTAAGGACAGTAAATCTACTTTATAGATGGCTGTAGGCTGCTAATGGAACAAAAGCCAATAAGCCAGAACACAATTCGCGCAACAAAAATTAGTGAAATCAACTTATAGTAAGATATTTAATATTTTCCAATGTGTAAATTAAAACCTTCCGCTCATGCAACGAAAGTTAACATGAGTCAAATAAAAACCTTACAACAGTGGGTGTTGATTATTTTATTTAAAAATTAAGAAAATAGGATATGTCATTGATTTTTTAAACCCACGGATCAATTACGATTTACTCTCCAATAGTCGACACATAGTTGTGTAATTAAGTTGCGACTATGAAACTTTTTTCTTTACATGTTCACACTTCTTTAGCTTGGCATTGAGGAGAAGCCCCCAGTTTCATGCCGATTTTTCTCCTGGTATTTCATGGTTTTTCTGATGTAAGGAAAAGTGATTAAATGGTCTATTTGAGAGAAGTACTTCAATTGACTCCAAAACATTCAGCTTGGTCTCAACTTTCATCGTCCATTTTGCGGCTTACTTGAAGCACAGGGATACACTGTTTTAACTATTCAAAATTAACAAACGATGCATTTTTTTTTTTTTTTTAATTTATTAATTTAAATAACTTTCAATTTGGTTGAAATGGATTTAAATTGGATATCCTTGCTGTGATTGTTGCATTACATAGTCAATGAAACCTTAAATTAAACTTTTTAAAGACGTAACTGATACCTTGAAAAAGTATGAGACAAAAATAAATACTACTTACTTCGAGAGGATTCTTTCAGAGGACTTCTTGCACGTTTCCGTAAAGTTCGCTTCCTAGTTGAGTCTTCGGCAGAGGGCGTTTTATCATTGGTGATGCCTAAAGCTACAAAAAAAAATAGATATATACATACATAGTTTTGTACGTAAAAAAGTTTAGTCAAAATTCTTGGAAACATTTCAGTCAAACATGTAGATAAGATACTGAGGCTAGACAAATTCTTTGAAGATTTGAAAAAACAAATTTTAGACTAATTTTTTAGTCTAACTGAGATTTTTCCATGATGAGTAGATTTTGCACCTCAACATTTTTAAAGCTTTTCCACTTTATATTTCATCAGTTCTCAAATGCATGCTCCTAAAATTCTAATTTTTTTTTTCATAAATACAGCTGGTCTGATTTCATGAGACTCATAATTTTAATGCAAAGCTGACCGTGGAGCAATATGGAATCATGAATTGGCTGTAAGGACACTGAGATTTGACCCTGGACTGAGGTAGCTACAAACTGCATTCATGCTGTAATATTCCAAGATAGTAGCTTGAGATCAACTGGATGTAAAAGTTTGAAATATATGTGAGTACAATGCACTTACATATCTGCGTAGATGTTTTCAATGGTTTCATTTCTGGGGGAATAGGTGAATTCATGAAGCTGCTTGGCGAATTTGCCATAACATTTTGACGCTATACGTTAAAAAAAAAGAATTGATTAAAATGGAGAGATGAAAATTAATAACAGCAAAATTGGAATGAGATGTGAAAGAGAGAATCAGCAAAATTTAAAAGAGAGGCAAATCATGCAAAGATTAAACTTGGGACTTTTTGACATGAAAAATAATTTCTTTAAGCAATGGAATTATTCAAGAGGATTGAAAATTCAACTTCAATTCAGAGCATCACAAAGGAAAACATTTCTGGATTGATCAGGGGCGAACTCAAAGCCCTGAGAACAGATTTTAAAAACAAGAAGACCTGCTCAATTTAATGTAAAACTCACATTTTCCCCAAAATCAAGATGAAGATGGTGTACTTTTTCCAAAATCACAACAATATCCACTCACAGAGTAAAACAAGGTTGTCCTCTTGAAATTTTTGAGGACATGAAGATTTCTGGGATGGAAAGACCAATTTGAAAAATGAGGAACGAAACTACCTACATATCTACAGAGTATATGGACAGATCTATTCCATCCATCTGTGATGAACTTAGGACATGATAATGCGAAACTTTAAAACCTGATACTTTTAAAAGAAATTATTTGTAATAAAAACAACAAATCTTGGTAACTTTGAAGACAAAGACTTTATGGCAGAAATTTGCACAGAAATTCATTGTGTTAAATGTGCTTGGTTGAAATCTAATATCATTTTTACTGAAGTCTATGGTCTATCAGTCAGTGGCGTGTTGTGAATTGCTATATATCGATTGTTATGCCATTTAAACCTATGGTAAAGAATCGATTATTAAGGTGTTCGCTGCGAACACCCTGTTTATCGATCCTTTTCCGTAGATTTAAATGGCATAACAATCGATATATCGCAATTCACGCCACGCCACTGCTATCAGTGATTGTGGTTGAAGGCTTCACTTCTTTCATCCTCAAAAAGCTCTAAAAAAAATGTAATGATCAATGATGATAAATTAATAATAGACATACTTGAAGGGCACAAAACTTATGCAAAGAAACACCAGTTACTTAAAAGTAAGCTGAGATTTAATCGAAAAAATTGACAACTTACGGAGCTGATAGAATACGGAGTTCGAGTTGGCACTCTCCAAACTGGATTCAGTTTCAGAGGTAGAGACTGCCGTTTGCGGGAGACCAAAATCAGGTAAGTCGCCGTGTCGTAATCATAATCCCATCTACTCAGCTTTGCCCACATGTCATTGGAGCTTAAATTGTGGTGCTCTGCCAAAAGAGACACGCAAGCATCATCTTTCATATGGAAATCATACAAAGGCTCAAACGAGACCGGCTCATTGTAACCTGAAATAGTCATGAATTTAATTGATTGACATTAACGGAAAGTGTTTCTAGGATGCACTTTTTGGGGTCTTTTAGTTTTTGAAACTGACCAAAACTTGGATTGTTGAAACTTTGAATGACCTTAGTCAATAGTTGTTGAGAGTTGGAGGAGGGTTTTCTTTAATAGAAATGTCTGCATCATGCAAAGCTGATTTGGAACCAGTTGAGGACCTGGTTCTGTGCCCAATAATTTTAATTATGGTAAATGTTGATTCCAGTTTTGGTCCTGATTCCGCTGAAACTCTTAGGGTTCCAGAATTCTGCCCCCCCCCCCCCCCCCCCNGTTTCAGTTTGGACCCTGGCAAATAATTCAAGGCAGTTAAGTAAGTAAATTTATTTTCCAGAGAGAATGAAAAATGGCAAAATGGCTGGTAGATTTAATAATCAGTAAAAAGTAATGAGAATTGAATGGCATCAAATTAATATGAAGATCTTAACAAAAAAGTTTTTACCTAATTGAACCCACTCGTGATTTAAAAGTTCTTTTACAGTCACCCTACGAAGAGGATCTAAGGTAAGCATTCTTTTGATTAAGCGTTTGCTGCCTTGTGAAAGCCATGCAGGTTCTTCATAACGGCCTCTCTAAAATCAGAAAAGAAAATCACTAAAAAATTAATCGATGCTAAAAAGTTGCTGGGTTAGGTATGATGATGACATAGGACAACATTTCATTAGAAAAGTAACAACAGAACGAAGGTTTTTTCATGAATATTTTACTAGAGTTCTTATGCATTGGAGTAATAAAGAAACCACTGGAATAAGAACCTTGCTGCTAAAATAGTCAAAATTGAAACGAGTGTATAAAAAAGGGTTTCATGCATAAATGGGAACGGAAATCTTCTAATGTATCAATCAAAAAAAATGCCAAGGTTTAATTCATATTTTCCCCCCATCTGGATAAATTGATGGAATATATCGCCTGTCTTTCAGATTGATCAGAAATTGACATAATACAGAGGGGACCCTCGTAAAACTGTAAGACTTCCACCCTAGGCATCTATTGAACAGTATTGACATTTCTTTTTGAGGGAGTTTTAAGTAAATCTTGATAATCCAAGATGTTAAATATCAACTCATAAAACCTACAAAAAAAATTGTAGGACTATTTTGCTGAAGCGTGTTTTTGCCTCACGTCGTTTTCCTAGCACTTTTTCATTCCTGGTGTATCATACCCATTGGTCTTTAGCATAAATGATATCAGCTGACTGCAGATGGCTATGAATTTCGGTTTTTACTCGATGAAACTCTACTATTCCCAACTACTGACCCTACTACTACTAAGGAAATGATAACTGAAGCTTGCAAAAAAAAGGCAAGTTGTGGTGGGACACACCAAACTTTTGAAAAGACTTTTGAAAACTTTTGTTGATAAAAATTTTACTGCGATTTAGCCTTGCTTGTCTCCTGTAAATTTTAGTTATCTTCATAGGTTGTTTTTTTTTTTTTTTTTTTTTTTTTTGCAAATTATGGTTATTCCAGGTAAGTAGAATTTTAATGAGTAAAAATGACAGTTCATACCTATGTGCTGCTTGTAGATGTCATCCATCTTAAACACATAGGCGCAAAACACATAGGTAATGGAATTTTTTGGGTAGGTTTAGCGAGATGAAATTTGGCATACTGCATCATTGGGAGTTACTTCAGACTTCTTAAAGAAGAGAAATTTATACCGTAAAATAGACGACTCTGGGTTCCTGTTGGATGTACATTGGTTAAAATACATTTGGTCCAACTAATGAATCATAAAAGGGTATCAAAAGTGAAGTATAAAATGATCCATAAAAAATAAAATAAGGATGGAGCCAAGAGATTGAAACCTTACCAAAATTTTTCTATAGAGAACTTCAATTCTATCACTGTCGAAAGGTAAAAATCCGCAAAGAATGGCATAGAGCAAAACACCCATACTCCAGACATCCACCTCTGGTCCGAGGTATTTTTTCCCTTGAATCAGCTCAGGGGCAGCATACGTGGGTGAGCCACATGATGTCAGGAGTTGAACGTCAAGGCCACCAATTGGCTTTGCACACAATCCAAAATCGATCAATTTCAAAGTTTGGTCGTGATCCAACAATACATTTTCCGGTTTCAGATCCCGATGAGCATAGCCCAAACTATGCAGGTATGCAACAGCTGACAAGATTTGCCGGAAGAAAGATCTCGACTCCATTTCACTCAGTCGATTTTTTTCTACAATATGATCAAACAACTCTCCGCCAGAACAATATTCAATGACCATGAAATAGTGTGTTTCAGTCTCAATAACTTGGTATAGTTGGCAAATGTGATGATGAGAAAACTGCTTAAGGGCCTTGATTTCTTGTTCAATTCTTGGTAAATCATCACCGAGACATGCTTTTTCCATTATCTTTATGGCTACTTTCTCACCAGTTAGAATGTGAGTGGCCAACTTAACTTTTCCAAACCCGCCGGTTCCAATTGTTTTCTCAAGAATATAGAGATTCTTAAGAGCCAAAAATCCAGACACCTTCATCTGTAATAATAAAAAAAAAAGAATTTGAGATCAAATACAATTAAAGGGTGTAAAACTTAAATTTGATGAAAAATTTAGAATTAGACCGATGCTGTCAGAATAATTTTACATGGTGGTTCCAAATTGATGCTGCTTGGATCAGCAATCTCAAAATCTTTTGTGAAAATTAGAAATTTCTTTTTAAATCAAGACAAAAGAAACCGATTTTTTAGCTCAAAACAATCTCCTTAAATTCATTTTCATGAACTAGTAAGCATATCAATGGATAAATATGAAAACCATGTGTCATAGTTTTGAACATTGCTGAAGACTACTTTTCATGACTCTTCTTCATTATGCGGAGAATTAAGCGACACAATATTTTTCCGATTCCATGATTTTTTTCCTACGTTGGAAGATTATTTGATGAACGTTTCAAACAATGGAATTGACCACTTTCCCTCTTGAAAAATAAATTATGCGTAGCAATTTTGTAATACCACAATCAGGCTACATGGTTTCTGAATTCAGCTATGGATGTGAGCCGTTCAACTCAGGTGAATAAGTAAGGTAATTACTGTTTTGTCTATCACTAAAAAAGTTTATCATTAATGCTAAAAACATACTATTTAAAAGGGAGTATTCAAACTTCAAAATTAATTCTAAGGATTCTGGTAGAAATTCTGCGAATACTATGTGAGGAAGGGGGGACGTTTTTCTTCAGTGATAATCTGTAAAATCCATAACTAATACTTCTGTACTCTCTGAAACCATCAAGAATGAGACATCTCGAAGTGCATTAGAATAAGTGCTTCTTAGCCACACCTTATTACAGCGTGGATAACCAATACCTACTTAGTTACCTCCGCATTTTTATTTATCTCTGCAATTTGGCGGAAAATCTCACCAAGTGAATTCAGAACTGGACGTATTTATGCTAAATGGAACAATGTGCAAGTGGAAAGATGGGGTGTGCTCGTTAGTTGAGGGCCATAAGAATGAATGGGAATTTAAAAATGCCAGTGACATCAGCGGCAACGATCAAGCCCAGGCAAGCCAGGGAGATGGGTGGCGGAACTCTTTAACTCATGAGCCCTGTCCACAATGCTCTTGTGACATACCCACGGCTCATGTGTTAGCGCTTAACTCCTTATGATTTAATGTAGAATCCCGCTTTAACATTTTCTCAAAAGGTACTATAGCCACTTTTACATTGTTTCTTATGCAGTTTGTACAGGCACAACCCATCTTCAAACATGCATGAAGTTCCTTTTAGCATGAATACGTCCGACTTTTGGTAGATATTTGCCTGTTAAAATGAATTGGAGGCGTAGAGCTTTTAGGACATCTCAATCAAGGCAGGATGTTCCTAATTCATTGAGTTTTTTTTGACAAAACGAAGAAATTTGCATCAGACAATGAAGCTTCGCCCAAAGAGAGGCATCGATTAGGTACATTCTCTGAAGTTCAACTGTAATGTATTTCTGTGAATAATTATTGAAAAACTAAGAAAATTTGAGGAGAGAAGAAAATACTTACCTTTGGGGAAGTCCAATAGCAAAATCTTACAGGAAATGGATGGGCCTGGGGTGCTTCAGAAGTTTGGAATTGAGACTTTTCTGAGCTTAAAACTTGTACAATAATACTTTCAGAAAATTAGGTCTTGAAAAGTATTCAATGAGCAAATGAATCACATAAGTCATGTTCAAAAATTTAAGTATATCATGGGTAAAGCTTGCCACAGGGACATGAACAATAATCACCACGTTAATTTAAACTCAAACCGGAACGTAAACAGGTAAAAGATAACCGTCAGTCATGAGGAAAAACAATCATTTTTTGCAGACTGTATGAACAGTACAAGTATGTTCTCTTTGGAGGTCCCGCTTAAAAGTTTTGGGGTGCTTTGCTTACGTCATTCAGTACTTAGCTATGATTGGCTATAAATGAGGGGGTGAAGTGCGATGTAAGCTGGTCCTCAAACATGATTGGCTAACTTGTTAGACGTCTTAGGTCATCCTTCCTCCAGTTCACTATTCTTGCCAATACCTTTCCGCATTGTTATTGTTTTGTGAGTCAGTTTATTTAAAAAGTCCGTAAATTGAATTAATTTTAAGTTCATATAAGTTTAACTTTAGTTTCTCCGTCTGCAGAATATCGGAGATTATAAAGTGTAGCCTTTCATGTGTTAAAAAAGACGTTTTCCCGTCTATTATGAGACAGAATTTCATGTTATTTCTGTCCAAAGATTAGGAACTACCTTGAGAGGATGGCTGTCCTTGCCATTTAAATCCTCAATAATAATAATCTGAAACATTTAGGCTGATCAGAAATGAAGTGACCGCGTTTTTTTTTAGACTGATTTTTGCTCCTCATCATCGAAGGAGTCATTAAGGTGAGTATTGCTTCAAAGAACTCAACTTTTCGTAGACATGAGACCAACCTTGATGTGTCGAGGGAGTGATCTCCAAAGTAAACTAACCTCTGTTTTTCCTGCAGTATCACAACCCATAAAACTCCTCTAATCAAAATTTTTTACCCACAGTAAATTGACCCGATTTCCCACGCAATTATTTCAAAGCCCTAAACAGTTGGAAGAGGTTTACACTCCGACGAAGATTTTTATTTGTTGGTTGATTGAACGCAAATTTATTTATTCATTTTAGAAGAAAAAATGTGTACAAGAGAAGAAAATTCTTACATACATTCTTTACAAATTCCTATCCCATGTATCTGTTGTCTAAAACTTTGTAGAATACCATGTTGCGAGCACTTTTGTCATAGTGCGCTTTCTCTCAACCATTTCATTCCATGAGATATTGCGTAAGTAGTGCTGGGATTTGGTGACACCCAAGGCGGAATTGAAACTCCAACCATGCCAGAAGAAAGGCAAGAACTTTCACCCTTTAAGCTCCATTTTACTTTCTTATCCATGTTATCTGAAGATGAAGGTAGTGCTTGCATGCTTACCTTGTCCGTGTACTAGGATCAGATGCGCTCTCTCTGTCAGTGTATAATCTCTTGTTAAATATGCACATTGCTGGAAGGCGACAGTGAAACTGTCTCTTTAGTTTAAATAGTTCTACAGGAAGGAAAATTCAGGTAAAGGCTTCTAAAAATTTGGAGTCAAAGTGTCGGATTCACTAACTATGACACTGAGATTGTAGGGAAGCAGAGGTTCCATCAGGCAGCAGCAAGTTTTCCAGTGCAAAACATATAGATTCGATTGGGAGACTGATGTCACCCCAATTTATACTCAATCAAGGTTCATTCCCAGTCTAACCTAGGCTCGAAGACCATTGTTGTGACCTAGCTATCGCTGCTGTAGTTTGCTGACTTCTAGACTGGTCATGAGAAAGACTTGATCACTGCTGGATGCTCCAATGTTTAAATATGAAGATTCTACAAAATTTTTATTTGCCAAGCATTTTTATCTGTTTGATGTAATGTAATTCAATTTCATTTTGCTTTTTCTGCAGGATGGGGCAAACGTTGGCAGAGCCTGTAACAGAGAAGGAATCGGAGTGTTGTCAGAACAATCAATTCAAAGTCGGATCAAGTTGTATGCAAGGATGGCGTGTGAATATGGAAGATGCGCATACCCACATCCTCTCCTTACCAGATGATACAGGAACAGCATTTTTTGGTGTCTACGACGGCCACGGAGGTAAGTAATCATGCCATGCTATGTTTGGACAACTACCATCTTCAAGTCTGTTTATCCCATTTAAGTTATATCCAAAATCATTGTTTTCTCACATAATTAGGTAGGTAAGTCCAAAATAATTTGAAGTTGTCTTGGTCTCAGTGACTTGCAGCTTCTCCGCTTGATATACGTTATGCTGTTATATGGTATAAAATTTTCAGCTTGTTGAAATGATGAGAAGAATAATATATGTTGAAGGAAGATGGTTAAGAATATTAGCTCGTACATAAATTGATTATACCTAAACAGCCTGAAATAATCCAAGCTGTGGTAGATGTATTTGCAGTAAAATTATGTGAATTCTGAGTAGAAAATAAGGGGTCAACAGATTCACACAAAACCAAAAATATAAAATTAGGATCTAAATCAACTATTTTTGGATCAAATTAGTAAGTAATCCAAACCACGGTTTACGACAATTTGGAAAACCTGGAAAGTCGGGGAATTTATGGCAACCTAGATCAGCCAGGAAAGGACTCTACAACAAAACGGCCAAATTGGCCTAAACACGGAATCCTACAATTTTCCTAGGGATGAAAGAGGGTCTTGCCAGACACTTAAAACTGGTCTTATTTTTTGCCTTGTATCCCGGGGAAAAGGGGAGAGAGGGGGTCAAAGTCAAAACCTGTAAAGTAGCATAACTTCTCAATGGTACGTCGTAAAAAGATGATCTTGGTGTCAAAATTTCCCGAAAAATGAGAGCCATCAGAATATATGTATAAAATTGATACTATTTCAAAATTTGACCTACTTTTGGGGGCATTATGCAAAGTCCCCCTTTCATAATTCGTTTTTCGAGATTTTCGGTCGTTAAGTTTGCACAGAGCAAAACAAAAATAATCTTAAATAAAAGTAGAGCGGTTAAGGTTTAAAATAAGCCCAAGTTCATCTTGGGGAAACAATTAGAAGCGGAGTTATGAGACTTCAAAGGTGGCGCGGCGCGCGGGAACCTTGTATGTTCCGAATCTCAAGGTCACCTGCGCCCTCGGGATTGCTCGTAAGTGGCGAGTTTTTGTATTTTTATGCTTCTGTAGATTGTATTCAAAGTGAATCATTTAATAGAGATGGAATATTCGGAATTTATGGATAGTTCGGAAATTACGGCTACACACACGCGCGCGCGCAGCAGTTCCCCTCTTTTTTCCTCACCTAACTTGTAAATCCTTTTTTGAATTCAGGATCTTTGGTGGCACAGTATGCAGGAAAGCATTTACACAAGTTCATTCTCAAAAGACCGGAATACAGTGAGAGGAAAATACCGGAAGCCTTGAAATATGTAAGTTTGTAATGTAATTTTTTTTCATACCTATATTGCTGAATGAGATGTGTTATATTACCTGGGAACAGTCCCCTTTTTTACCATACAATACATGTAGCTGTATTATGGATAGTTAGCACAGCATTGTTTGGTCGCAAAAGGGATTAGATGCACTTATTTTAATCCTAGTCAACGAAATAGTTCATCTAAGTTAAATCTTATCTTAAAGTGATGGAGTTCTCGTAGTTTTCACTTGACTATGTAATCATGCAGTATTATCACAATGGTAAAACTTTCTAGGTTATCCAATATGATTATTAGGGACCAAGCTCAAAACAGCGAGGTCTCAAAATGTCTTTGAAAAAATTAAGGCAATATCATTAACCCACAATATCTACCTCTGTCAGATGAGCTTAGTCGCTACAGTATTTGGCAGAAAAAAACTGATGGAGGTGATCAAACTGCCACGAAAACTACCCCCTTCTCCATGACTCCATGCGGAATGACGCTTGCTTTTATGGGAACATCAATAATGAGATTGAGCAAATCGGCTTGCGATCTTAAACTTGGTGTCGAACCTAAATTTCCATGACAAAAGATGACAGTGATGATTTCAGCCCACCAACTGCAATTTGACGTTGTTATATCACTCATGCAATGTTTTCCTTATCTAAGATTAATTTTCGATGGTTCCAATGTAACCAATAAAACATGACCAAATTCAAACTTTGCGTTAGTTATCTATTGTATTATACAGCAGGTTTTGCAATTGGTAAATACAGTGTGTTTTATAACAATAGCCAAGTTTGAATGCACACCGCTCACTCTAAAGTATCATGCTGATGAACAAAATATCAAGGCTCAGCCTTGTATTCTTCGACCACGGATTCCACAGCCATATTCGTGTGAGGTATTTGTTCATCGTCAATAAGCAGGCAACTTAAACCTTTTGCAGCTACCCTAATTTTTAATCAATTTTTCTCTCAGATAACACAAAAAAAAGTTAGATAATAACTGAAAATTTGGTTCTCATGATACTTTAGACTGGTGCAATAAAAGCAAATAGTATAACTGACTCATTCTAGAATTAGTGAATTTGATGGCAGAAAAATATTAATCTTCAATGTCAACTGCAAATTGGCTGAATACAGCGAGTCAAAAATACCAATGCTGCATTTCTCTTAATCAAGTATACAGTAGGACTTTGATCTATCGAATTTCACGGGACCGATGTATCGATCCATTAAATCGCTCAATCTGTTAATTTGAATCAGCTTGAAGTCCTTGAAGGGACCAGGCGATGGATCTGTCAAATTGCAATCCAATGAATTGAGGTCTTAACGTTCATTCAGTGACATTCAATTAATTTTCTCCTTGGAGTGCTACAATGATTTACTTACCTAATTCATGTTTTCCCTCAGGGTTTTCTGGATGTGGATGCAGCCATGTTAGAAGATGATGATGTAAAAGAAGAACTCTCAGGAAGCACTGCTGTCACGATTCTCATCAAAGATGGGACCCTTTATTGTGTAAGTGATTCCCTGTACATCATTATTTCACGCTCATACCTTGTTCTCTGCTCGGTTAATTATTTTTTTTTTCTTTATTATTACTCATTGGTTCATTACCATACTATAGGTTACTCAATTCATCGCTCCTCCAACATAAGAGCGTATCTTCATTTTCATGTGAGCCACAAAAACATGGAGTCATATTTACAACTGGGCTTACGTTAAAATGAAGGTACATCCTTACGTTGGAGGAGCGATATATTATGACAGTAGAAAATGTGTACAGAACCCTGCCCAGACCTTATGGGAAATGGCTCTCTTTACAGTCTGATAAAACTTGGATTTGTTGTTCAGCTAGTCATTCTGATCTGGAGTTCTCAAGGGGCAAAAGAGATCCCTGGAGAGGTTTTCGAGATATTCGCCGTTTTATGTGCGAGAATTGAGGTTTTGCTGGCTGAACCATTGTGCGATGCTCCTTGTGCCCTTCCCTTCCAGTCCACTCTGGCCGCTCTCCACCTCCTTGCCACCCATATCGGAGGCTCGGACTCCGATGCTCAAGAGGCTACGCTCATCATCGCTGAGCCGGGTGATCTTTATTACCGTGAACGTCGGAGTCCGAGCCTCGGGTATGGGTGGCGGGGAAGCGGAGAGCGGCAGGAGTGGACTGAAAGGGAAGGGCACAAGAAGCACCGCACAATGGTACGGCCAGTGAAACCTGAATTTACGCACTTAAAAAGGCGAATATCTCAAAAACAGCTCGTGGGATCTCTTTCGGCCCATGAGAACTTTTGATCAGAATGACTAGCTGAGCAACATATCAAAGTTTCATCAGATTGTAGAGAGAGCCATTTCCCATAAGGTCTGTGCGGAGTTCTTTGACGTAAAATATACTTCAGTAATTCAATATATTCATAATAAATATTTGTGTCCACTCGTCAGAAAAGAGGCCTCAGTTGTCAGAAGTAAATGTCAAAAAATTAATATTTCAGTTCTTAACTGAAAATTTTTTCAGGCAGTTGAAGTGTAAAACCTTAAAATCGAACCAAAACTTTGTAAAACAATATCAATTATGTGCAACTACTAAGTCAAAGTGCAACCTTCAGTACTAATGTTTGGTTTTGTTTTAGGCTAATGTTGGAGATTCCAGAGCTGTTGCCTGCGTGAAAGGCAAAGTTGTAGTCTTAAGCGAGGACCATAAGCCCTCAAACGAAAAAGAAATGGCACGCATTCAACAAGCTGGAGGTTGGGTAGAATTTAACCGGGTCAATGGCAACTTAGCATTGTCACGTGCTCTAGGAGATTTTGTCTTCAAGCGAAATGGCAAAAAGAAAGTTGAAGAGCAAATAGTCATTGGTATGTTTCACTTTCACTTTTTAAAGTATTTTTCTGTAGCTGAAATTCTTCTTTCAGTAAAAAGTTCTGTTTTGTATTTTTTTTGTCAGGAACATTAATGCGTTTTAAATTATTTAAATTAGAATTGATGTAATGGTTTGATTCGATCCAACATTTTGAAGTAGATCACAAGTGGCAGAAGGTAACCAACACGATTACGTTGTTTTCAAATCTGTGCAACTTTTTCTTTGCTTTGAAAAATACTCAATATGTATTTACAGCACTACAATTTACATAATCATCTTCCTTTAAAATTAACAATTTTATGGAAAAAGTACAAAAGTTATTAACTATTGTAAGTCATTCTTACAGATAAAGATGAAGATGCACAATTGTCACAACATTGTAATCGCACCAGTTCCCTCCCGCAAAATGCAATCCAATTATGGTCTGCTTTAAAGAACTAATACAATCCTTTCCGTAAAGGGCTTTTTTTCTAGCCTTCTTGCTTTTCTTTTGTCTTATGAAAAAAGAGAATGAAATGCATAAATGAAATTGATAAATAATGGTCCTAGTAGCACCCAAGCTGAAAATTTTTTTGAACAAATCCTCTGCCTTTGTTGAATTATTAACAATTATCCGTCAGATTCTCAGTGATTATTGGGGTGAATTAGAACTTGCAAATGTGTTCAACTACTTTAGCAAAGAACCATTTTTTCACGTAATACAAAACAGCAGCATTAGCCAGTCACTACATGTTTTGCGAAGTTACACATCAAACTACTGCTAAAGGACTTTGAAGGTTGAAAGTTGGAGGGAAAAGGGTGCAAATTAGCACTGGACACCAGTATATACTGTTCTCTTGTGGAGTAATGTGAGCTTACTGCTTTTTTTTTAATTGATGTCATTTTTTGTGCCCTCACCACATTATACCAACTTCTTTATTTTCAAATAGGACGATTTTTTTCTATTCTAGTAGAATCATCAAGTTCATTTGAATTGGATTAGCAGAATTTCGAAAGAATTTAACTCTAAAAAATATGGTTGTTTACGTTTCCCCTTTCTGCACTAAGATGGCAGTTTTCAAACCCTTCAATTTAGTTTGCTAAATTTCACTTGTAAGCTCATTTAATAGGCATATTTAATGTGATTAGAATAATCATTGTTATTTTTAATTAATTTTAATTTTCTTTCTTTCCTTTCCTAGCTGTGCCGGATGTAGAAGTTAGGGAAATAACACCTGACTGGGAATTCATTGTCATGGCATGTGATGGAATTTGGGATGTTCTTTCAAATGAGGTCAGTATATCATACTTAAAATCATTTGACTCCTGAAAAATTTTCAAACCTTACCCTAATTGAGTGGCTTGCATCAAAAACTGTCCAACTCAATTGTTCATGAAGTTTAAAGAGCTTTTAGACAAGACAAAAAATTGAAGGGGTAGTGAAGTGATATTTTTCTTTTTAAAACCACACTATTAACAGTTTCCACATATCCATAACTTTTTAAATAATAATTCAAACACATTAAAAAATTGCATGGAGCACCGGAAGTATCATCTTTTTAAGTTTGCCAAATATTTTTGCATTACACTAACCATTGTGGAGGCAAGGGGCCTCAAGAAATCAAACTTTTTCTCTTTGATTCTACTTTTCTTCGTGCAGACTTATCTTACCAACTTATCATTCAAATTCACCCAAAATTTACTTTTCAATGAATCTAACCTGAAATTCCAATCCAACTAATCAAAATTCTCATGGTTTCTCTCTGAATGAATCAGATTTTGATAAAGATATTAAAAATGTTTTCACTTTTCTCTTTGTGACAGCTTAATTTTAGGTAACAAAATTATATTTTCCCAATGACAGAGTTCTCAAGCCAGGATATCACAACTTGGCATATAATTTTAACTTGTAGATATTTCAGCAAATCCAAGATGGTGGATGTCATGGTTGAATGAACTCAAATGGAATGTCCATGTTCGGTTAGGTTTGTAGGTGATATCGTAGATTTTCTGTCTTAATTTACTTTTTCAAAAGATGACTAATCATTGCACTGTGAAAATTTATATCAGAATGTCATTACTTTCAAAACTGATAAAAAAAGAAGCAAAGTGTTTAGAACATCGAAATGGAGATACATGTTGTTGTATCTTTTGCAGTCAGTATGTGTTTATTGAAAATTGAAAATGTTGATTTTGCAGGAGGTAGTGGAATTTGTAAGGGTACGAATCAGTCTTGGAATGGAGCCGGAAGATATTTGCGAAGATCTTATGACGAGATGCCTGGCACCAGACTGCACAATGGGAGGACTTGGTTGTGATAATATGACTGTAGTAATAATCTGTTGCCTGCATGGCAGACCGTACAAAGAGCTCCAAGACAAATGCTACGTAGTCCACAATGCAACTAAATCAACTGCAGACTCATAAAAATAAAATTTCAGGAAGTGTTGAAACAGGATTCACCGACCATCAGGTATTTCTTTCATTTTACTACCCAAAAAAATTGAATTTTCCCCCTCACCATGATAGACTATTAATTTGACGATTACAGTGAAAAAGCTGGCCGCAGAAAAAAGTAGATGAGCACCATATGTTACTACATGAAAGTATTAACTACATGCCCTTCATCTGATCTCCCATATCATGTTTTACATGTTTTAAGTTAAATGAGTTTCTGTTCGGTTTCTCCTTTTGTTACCAGTTCACCTTTTTTCCCTAAAAAAATGTGTAATGTTTGAACGTGATAACTCCTATATTATTACTTACCAATAGTATAAATAAAATTGAAGAAATGCCTGAAAATCTTAGATCATTTGACTGGCATGTCACCGCAGGTGAAGATATTGTCAGGGCTATAAATATCTCCCTTGTTAAAATTCTTGCCAGTCATCTACATTGATACTGCTGATCATGGGTAATTTTCTGTGTATTTAATTGTAATCAAAAGTTGCTTTTTATGGGGTCGTAAATTTCTGAAATAATGTATAGTACCAACCCTAAAGTGCCATACAATAAAAAAATCATTATTTTTTAAGGAAATCGTCTGTATTTGTTGTTCGCTGAAGTTTGTAATTACCATGTTACTATTTTAATTTTAATTCAACTGCATTTAAGCCATATTCATGATGAAAGGAAGAGAATTGTATTTTTACAGTGCAGTAATATTTTATCTAGCAGAGAAAGCAGATGCATGTAGACTTTTGTCAGTCAAACAGCAGGCTTCAGATTTTTTCTCATTATCAAACTACCAAGTAAATCGGTTATGCTGTATCTTATTACAGCTAAGCCAAAGAAAACAGTATCCAGACATTCATGAGTTGTCTATTTTCTTCCAATAAAATACTAATTACCTGGAGATTTTGTGAATCTTTTTCTGTGAATTTTCTTTGAAATCTAAGCTAGTGTATCAGAAAAGTTCAAGGATTTTTTTTTTTTATTTTACCTTTGCTCTGAAATGTATATTTTGTTGGAGAAAATGATAAATGTTCACATGCTGCCTTTCCTCAGTTAGCAGAGTTACATTCTTCATATTTCATCGTCCCTCTGATGTAAGGGCATATGTCAATCTCCTTTTGAGCCCTGTTCTCCATATCACTCCATGCCTTTCAGGGCTTACGTGGAAATAGAGACGTGTCCTTACATCAGAAGGGCAACGAATTATGCTGGAAGTGAATGAACAAGCAGATTAGCTCCCTCTTTTTTGCATTTATATGTTATTGTCTCTATCTGATTTATAGACCATTGAGTATATGAAATTTACTGCTGAGGTTTTAGTGGCTAAGTGTGATCGAAATTCTTAAACTTTTCTTGAAATATCCTTAGCTTGAAAAATTTAAGTGCTCTGTGTATGTATTAATATCCCTATACTTACATTTTTTCTTCAATAGGATTTCAGGTCAATGAAAACTTTTGCATCAAAATCATCTCTCTATCTATTTAATGAAAAGTCATCTGGTCTCGCTAGTATGAATGAAAAATAATGCCTGTTTTCCTTGATCTAAAACACCAAAAAAAAAAAAAAAAAAAAAAAAAGAAAACAAAAGGGTTTTTTATCTGAAGAGTTGAAAATAACTTCTTTGTATCCTTTCTGCCAATTCAGGCAATTGAAACAGATCTGAAACTGAAATCAAGCTTTATTTGCGTTTATGATCATTATTAACAGTCAAGACATTCAGAATCGTTAATGTAAATGTGTTTTTAAGTCCATGTAATCATTGTTTTTTTTATTTATCATGGTAAGGAACACTTCTAATCATCAACGACACACATATGTGACTAGTTCAGTTACTGGATTAAACCAGCGCAAGCAACACAACATTCAATGTTTTAAAAGATGTACAGATGCGTTAGGATATGAGTCCCAAGATTTTTCTACTCTTGCAGAGTCTCATGAAAGACAGCTGTTAGAGAGCCTTCTATACGTTATTTTTTTATTCGCAATTATTTGTGCATTGTAAGTAAATAAAGGCGTTGAAACTGTGTAAATTTAAACTGTACAGAACTAATTGTATTAGCCTAATAAGTAGTCAAAATCAAAATGATCATTTTGTTCTTGAGGTTCTTTGTATGCTGATGTTCTGTGAACTGAAGTATCATTTACCTTGTGTCTCTCTCTTGAGATTCAAATTGCAGATTTAAGATTAGTATTCTAATTTTCTTTTTTTATGAGTGTAAATTATCAGCGACTATTGTAAGCCTTTTTTTCGTAATTCACAAGTCAGAAATTCTGTATTCTCAATAAAGGAATAACCAGAGAGAGATGGAATATGAAAGAAACTGTTGTAACCACTCTCAGAAGTTGTTTTGAAATTATGTCATGCAACAGAAGCGGAGAGAGCACGGACCTGCACGACAAGGCCGAAAGCAGGTAAAAGAGGATCTAGCTCAACCTATCGTTGGGCAAAATCAGATGCTTTCTACTTTTTTGGACATTTTTTGATAATTTTGGTAGGCAGTAATGTTGCCAAAAAATGCTGTTTTGGTTGTCTGTAAGGAGGCATTAAATGAAACATAGTGTTTAGAAAAGAGGGCATGAAAATTCCAAATGTCAACGTGATAATATTTGCTCAAACTTTTGCAGCAAGGAATCACTATTTTTGGTTCATCCTCAAAGGCTTCTAACTGCATAGGAAAACTATTCGCACAGTTTTGTTTCTACAATGATCCAGAAGTAGTGCTTCTTTTTTGCAACTTCATGAATGCTGCCTTGTTATGGAAAAACGCTGTATGAAAATTTCCTCCGACAAAATGTTTCATTTTCAAGGAGAGTTATTAATATTTCCTCTTGAAATTTTTAGACAATTTGTATCTAATTGTAAATAAAATTCTCTGATTAATTCGAGGGAAAATATTCACAGATTTTTCTGAGTATCCATATTTTATCAAAGGACTAGGTGGCTCCTCCTCCTGGCCGCTATGTGGCCCAACCTTCAGTGCGCTGCTCGTCTCCAATGGCCACGATGCGGCTGGCAAAATCGTCAAAATCGCCTAGACGAAACAAATTGAAATTGCCTAGAGTAAATTAAGAATAAAAAAAAGATACCTCATCAACAACTAAGAGCAACTAAAAAACAGACTTAGAATTGGCCTCCCTGACTCTAGCCCATCGACCGGCTTAATCCCCTTCCCCACCCCATCCACCGAGTGTCTTAAAAGTGATTTTATTAGAATAGAGAGGATATTTGGCAACGTCTGAAGGCTCATACAACGTTTTTTCTTTGCACAGCAGAATGGCTCCTCCCTTCAACCTTGCATTGCGTCATTACCAGCTTAGAATCATTTGATGGCAGGCACAAGTCACAAGTCTTAAGCTTAATTTACTCCCTCAATGGAATTTGTGACATCTCTTTAGGAACTCAATCACTTATTAACTTGCATTTTAAATTGTCCTCCAGTAGAAAGACACCTTACCCAGTTTCTGAAGCAAATTTTTCCAGGGAAGTGAGTTTTCTCTAAATTAACCATAAATATCATGGTACTTTAATGGAAACATCCAGTATCCTATAGCACAAGTTGCGACCAGATCTTTTTTTTTTCTTTGACAAAGGGTACATATATGCATTTTACTACCATGTTATTAAATTCAAAACTTAGTAAATCAAATTATTCAAATGCTTCATCTCACAACTGCATATTTTGAACTTCAAACATTTAGCTTGAATTATTGATGATTTTAGGAGTATTTTTGCCCTTAAATGTTGGGATGTTTATTTTTTAAGTAATGGGAACAAAATCACATCTTAAAATTTTGTGGTTTGAAGGTCTCTTTTCGATCTGACAGAAATGCAAAAATTACCCCTCATGAAACTTAAAGAATGAAATTTACCACTGAAAGATTGTGGATTTTCATGTAATGTCATGAATTTTTTTATAATTCCTACAATAGACTCAGTATATCACAAAACTGAAGGATACAGTAAAATTTTAATTTTGGAAGAAGAAAACATCATTAGTTAAGTTTCAAAGTTTCTTATCGAATTCTCAGACATTTGTTGCGGATTGCCTACGCAGCCCCTGAAAAATTGATGAAATTGTATTAAAAAAATGGAATTTCATTTTGCGATTTTGCCTGGGGATCACCGTGTTTGCAAATCGATGTAGATTCCAGGGATTCTTTTGTTTTCTCTGAATCATTTTATGCATTTATCAAAATTACTGCATTTTCTACAAGGCATACTTAATTTTGCTGTTCTGCTTCTCTTGTTAAACCTAAAATAAAGAAAGCCCATAAAGAGCCTGATAAAGTTGGAGGTAAATTTTCTAAATTTTTATTTCAGAGGAATTGAAAACTCATCTAGTCAAAGAAGAGTGCCTAAAATGTATGAATTTAACATGACTGTAGCTAGTGAAATGAAACGCCATGTCGATTTATTTTTTGTTGAAAAGTTTTACTTTTATTTTTTAGTAAAACAATTAAACTAAACTCTGAATCAAAACACTTGAGTAAGTTTTCGAAGTTGACTTTTACATATTGCGAAGTGAGTTCTAATTAGTATTGTGTCAGCACATTGTACAAAAGGGCTGCCTTCAAGCTGTCTGAGTTCATTTTTAGACTTCGGCAGCCTACAGTTCTTGTCTCATACTCATAGTCCTGTCAACCTATTTCAAAAAAGGGCTTCAGCTAGAAAATTTTGCAATAAACTTTCTGGCATATGTTTCCTATGTATTTGTTAATGGTAAATCCGAATCTAAACTTTGCTACCTCCGATTTTTGCTGCTAAAGCCGTCATCTTGAAAAAACGTTGCCAAAGCTCATTTTTTGTCCAAAAATCATTAATAACTCGTTCCTTGTGCGTTGGACAGCAAAATGAGCTCTTTGCAAAATGACAATACGTAAAATGTTCGTTTAGTCACATGTATCAAAGTTTTGATAATATGCGTTTACCATCCGCCAGAGCGCGCTTAAAATAGCGGGCAATTTGAAAGAAGTGCAATTTTTTGTGGTTCTCTCATATATCTTTTTTCTTAACGGGTTTTCGGCAAAAATGGTTTTTACAAAAATTTAAGTTGGCAAAAAATGCTCCTAGAAGCACGCTTAGTTTTTGAACTAGTGATTGTTTCAACAAAAGCGCTTGAAGTCGGAGACTCATATGACCGAAATAGGCTGCAAAGCTGCATCACAATTCTACCTTTTGAGGACCGGTTTATGGTTTCCATAACGTTTAATTTTGCCTTAAGGCTTTAAATCTCCTATATAATTATTAAAATTAGAGATTTCGCCCCTTTTGGCATCTCTTCCCCCTCCCCAATTAGATGACGGCGTAAAACCATTTTCCTTGCATTTTTATCTAGAAAAACGCTGTAACGTTTATTGACATTTTTTCAAGATGGCGGCTTTAGCGGCAAAAATCGAAGGTAACAAAGTTCAGATCCGGATTCAACGTTAAAAAACACATAGAAAATATATGCTAGAAAGTGTTTCGCAAAATTTTCCAGGTAAAATTATAGATTGCCTGGACTATCATTGTATCCGCGCAGTTAATGGCTTGGTTTGATTTAACAGTTTTGCAGCTAAAATATGTTTCTTCATTTTCTACTTCCATTGATTGCCTCTTATCTTTGTTGATGGGACAGCTAGTTCTTTCTATATTATCTTGTAAAATCTTTGACCCTTTCTCCATGGCTTTGACAAAAAATTGGAATTAGTGATACTTGTTGAAGATCCCAGCAATGTGATCGAGCGAAAAGGTGGCTCCTCTATAATCTTCATGTTGGTTAAATAGATCCTAGACTTGGACTAAAATTGTTATGAGCTCCCACGACCACTTAAATCTTGGATTTCTTTATCCTTTTGGCTGTTTGTTTTAGATACATTTGTTCCTAATTTTCAGCACTTACTGTTTCACAATCAATTCGCTTTATTTCAAAGTTGTCACAAACAACTTGCAGCTACTTAATTTGAAAATGGATGATAGATTTAAAAGTACAGTAGCTGTATTTTTACCTTCAATGAACAAAACTTCCAAATAAACAAAAAAAATTTACAGAACTTTATTTTATTCTTTTTTTTATTTTTTATTTTATTATTAATAAATTTTTTTTTGCCCCTTTATTAAGCCAAATTCAATGTTTGCTCTATCTGTGAATTTTGTCATCTTTAGTTGCCAAAAAATAATCTGGATTGAGTTTAACAGAAAGGCAATAATTCACATTTAAAAGAAAAAAGCCAGACTGGAATGGTTTTGAATTCAACTAGTTGTAGATTTTCTCGTGAAAAAGTTGAATCGTAGAAAAAGTATTTTGAATGAAAAAACAAGTCACAAGACTTTGTTCATAACATTGAAATTTGGTGAAACTCGCTGTGTTCCTTTTAAACTGATTGTATAATTGGGTCAATGAGCAATTTCAGAAATAAAAATGGTGTGTCCTAAGTGTTCCTTGTAATTACAGTATTCTTTATTTTTTTCTTATTGTTTTGTTAGCTCCATTGAAGGAAGAATAATTTCTCTTGTAGACCTTGTGACAAGCCATAGTTCTTGGGGTATTTGTTTAGCATCTGTCTTTTTTTGCCTTTTTCCCCATTTAAGATCTCTTTTCACTCAACAAAATTTTCACCTCTTTCACTTTCCCTTCAAGGGGAAAAATTTCGTACAAATTAGTACCTAGTAATCAATCAGCAATCTTTTCCCCCAAGGCCTTGTCTCCACGGGCCGTTTCACGGGATTTGTCCCAGGGAAAAATCCCACTTACGAAGTTGGGAAAAATATTGACTTAATCAATATTTTTCCCGGTACCAAGTATGGTCCTTTACCCCTAGGACTCACGGGGAGAGGAAAAAGAAACGAAAACGAATTGTGCGATATTTTATTCATTACTCCATGGTTAATGTTTTTTTAGTTAAAATAATGTGTCTAATTGTCAATTGAGTGCAATTATTATTTTAATCCCGGTTAAATAATCGACTTTAACTAATTTATCTTCCCGCGCAAACTAGTCGCAGGACCGTATGAGCCCCGTCCCGTGGAGACGGTAACTGGGAAAAATCCCAGAAGTTTCCTTCCTGCGATTCGAACTTGGGACAAATCCTATGAAAACGTCCCGTGGAGACAAGGCCTAATGAAGAACCAAAACGCAACATTGCTTGAAATTTTCAGAGAATTTTTTACCACAGCAGATTTTAGGAAACTTTGTCGATTAGTTTTCTTATTAAACATTTTTGAAGGAAAGAACATCGCATTGTCGCCAAAGCTGGTCTTCGATTTCAATCGCAGTCATGGGTATTTTGCTTCCTAAATATATTCGCGTAGGAACAATAATGACTATTTATTTTTTAGCCCTGGTCGAGCTCGAACTTGATATTTTTCTGCTAAGCTAGTCGTAACAGAAAGAGTGTTGAGAGGATATATGCTGTAAATTATTGAACTAGTTGCAAAAATGTTAAACAATTTTAAACTTGTGCAGCGATATTAGAAAACAAGTTTTAAGTCACTTTAAATCTAACAAAAAAACAGGGATGTTGACTGCATTCAACAGGAGTTCTCTTTTTTTTACTCATTATTTAGGTGAAAAAGACCGACTGCGGGAATGGGTCCTTCACAACCATATGTTTATAATGTTTAAAATGCCATCATATATATTAAAGTGTTGTGTTAAGAGAGCTAAATTTAAGTTACCTGATGTCTCCATACTAATTTTGTAATAATCTAAGTAAAACTCTTTTATGTAATTTAAAATACGCTGTAAATAGCTATTTAGTGAATTTTTGTTCTAAGTTTTGATCAGTATCTTTTTTTTTTTGTAAAAAAAAAAAAATGAAAAAAAATAATCTAGTTTTGTTACCAAGCAAGTTCTAATGAAGTTTCCAGGCAAGTTTTTTTCAACTAGGAGTTGATTACATGGAGCATTAACATTAATTCAATTTGTTTTAGGAACAAAGTATGCGCAAAGCAATTTTTCAATGTTTTCACCTCATGCTTGCTTTTTCATACTAATTTTTTCAAAGTTTCAATTTTAAAGTTCTGATTTCAAAGGGACGAAATCTTTATGACAAAAAATGTTGTCAGTGATGTGTAATTTAAAGACACTGCTAGAAAAAGGTAGGGAATGAACCTAATTCATTGATGAGTTCCTTGACCCTGCATCATTTTTGGGGAAACCTTGTATTTTTTGCATTATTTTTGAAAGTCCTGACTTACCAAGGCATTTTATTTCTAGGTCTTCCTAGTGACCAACCCTGTCCGAAGTTGATTTTAGTCTCTTCAGAGTAATTTTGGTGTCTCCCAAAATTTATAAAATTTCCTCACAAATATCATCTTAAAAAACAAGATCTCAAAATCATTGGTTTTTTTTTTCTTTTTATCTTTCAAATTTTCCATTTTCATCGTACCATGTTGCTCATGCTCAAACTTTCTCAGTTGTTTTACTGAATGCAAAATTTTTTCCCCGAATAATTTAATACTGACTATACCCCTTAAAAATATTCAACAGCTATCTTAAAATCGACGAAAACTGAAACACCTTTTTTCTTTTTTTTTCAAAATTCAATCTAGAAAAAGTAATTACCAAATTAAAGTTCTTGACCAATTTGGTTTTGAAAACTTTGAGATCGTAAGTTACTAGCTGCTCTCTCATTGATGGGTCGTTGAAAATCAAGCCTTCCTTTCGAGGTTAATATAAAAAAGTAATGTTTCAGGTCAACATGAAAGATTACTTTCTTCCGATCAATCATTTAAAATTTACCGAATTGACTGATGCAGTCCTCGGGCATTTTTTGAGTTTGGTTACTCATCAGTTGGTACCTTTCGAACCATTCATTTTAATCTTTTCTTGGGATTTAAGTAGACTTTTTTTTTATATATTCATAACTCACAGCCTCAAGAGCTGCGAGAGGAAGCTTTGGAAGGCGCTGCAATTGCTCCTTTCTAGTTGAAGTGACTGGTTCTCTACCTATAAAAGTACCCAGGCAGGAGTTGAGTTCTGTCCTCAAAATGTGCAGACAACTGAAGCAACGGTATTTTTCTTCTACTGATTATGAAATATGTATCTTTGGATAAAAGAACTCTACTTTTCAACCACCTTTTTACCTCTGTAAAAGTAATTACATTACTATTCAAAAAATTGTTTTTGTTTTTTTGGTAGCTTTATATACCATTCTTACTTCCAACAATTTTTGTAATCACTGGCTGCAGGCCATCCGCAAACAAAACACACACTATTCCAGCATTATGCCCCACTAAAACGGAAGAAGAAAATTTATGGAGATTAGGAAGGTAGTTTCATTGATTTTTACCCTAGAACCTTGTAAAGTCATGAGTCATCAAGGGTTTTGTACTTGTTTTGGCTGAGATTGCCGATTTTTTTACAGAGTCTGAGTCGAGTATGTTTCTTTTATAGTAGACACTAGAAATTTCCCTCACTAACAGTTGGTATTCTTTAGTATTACTAAAGACCGATTTTGTGTTTTTAGTGTAACATAATTTTTACTTTTTAGATTTTTGTTTTGTCAATATTGTGCCTCAATATATTTATTTGACATAAAATTCTTGAGTGTTCTCTTTTCAGTATCAAATGCTTTAAGCCACCAAACTTGCAAGTTTGGTACAGTTCCAAAATTCCATGACCTCTCCTAATTCACAAAAAATCACAATCTTTGTATTCTGAAATTCCTGTTTTTCCTCCTTTTTTATTGGAAGTACGGTTCCAACTTCAATAGCTGAGAGAATTATGAGTATATTATGTATTATTATTCAAAAAATTTCCCATTGAGAAAAGTTGGTTCTTTTACAATGAATTTGTTCCACTTATTAATCCTTTAAAAAAGCTGAACGCGGAGAATTGCATTTAGCCTCACAGAAAGTGTAAGAAAAGTAGAGGGTTCCAATAAATTCATGTTGATGGTTAACGTACAATACCGCCTATCTGCAAACTGACGATTTTGCACGACGTTGAGAAACCTTTGCCATTTTTGTAATTTTAAGGTTAGATTTGCAATTTTTTTCATACATTACAGCGTCATTGAAGCGCTCTCCTACAGAATTGGAAAAAAATTAATATCATCAGCTTGCATATTTTACACTGTAGAATTCGGGAAAGTCGCTAACTCATTTTTGCCAGATTTGTCAGTTAGGCGGTGTAGTTTGTTACCTGTCGTACTGTTGATGTAGTAAGGTACGAGAAAGAAACCGCTATCATGTATGAAAATCAATACAAAATTTAATCTTTAAAAGATGAGAGAAATATGCAATACATAAAATGTACAATGAAGACACACATTGAAACATTGCAGACTAGTCTTTAAAAATTAAGATTCAAAGGTAGTAAACACAGACGATGATTGAAAGAATTCTTATTGATAAGAGGGTACAAAATCTCAAGGCCAGGAAACGTAAAAGAAACTTAATTGGAGGCCTCCACCCTCCTTTATATCCTTCAGCAAAGTTGGCCTAAATATTTACAATATACAAGGAATTCGAGAGGGAAAATTGTTACTTTGAAAAATGAGCAAACAATATTTGTAGATTTCCTAGTTAAATCTGCCCTGGAAACTTTTTTTCCAAGAACACAAGAAATGTTACGGGGGTGAATCACAGATTTTACCAACTCATCATTGGATACAAAAACACTCTCTAAAAAAGGACAAAAACTTTCCGTGGCTTTGTCTCCACTAGACATTTTTACAAATTTAATTGTTACAAGCTCCTCGCGCAAACTTCATTTCAGCTCAAAAGAATAAATTAAACAAAATACAAAGAAAAGCGAGGAACAAGATTCCAAAGACTTGCAGCTGCGTCCATTTGTAGCAAAAATAATTTGTTGTCAAAAAACAGCTGTGGATACAAAGTAACATTACTTGATTTCCGAAAGAACATACAAATTGTTGCGAGTAAACATTAATTTTGCATTTCATCTACATACAAGTGATTCTTCTCTAAATTTTCTGAATAAACAGTGCATAGTTTTCATCAGCATATTATTAACCCTTAAGTTCTGAATGTTCGATGCAATTGGAGGTTTGGAGGAGGCAAATAACACGCAACGAAATTAAAAATAACTAAAACGCTGTTCAGACACATCTTGTTTTGCAAGACAGTTGCTACAAATTGCAAACAAATGACACAAATGTACCTTTTTAAAATATGTGAGGAGTGGATAGAAGTAAAGTTCATGATACCGAAACAATTTTCTCAAAAATCCTGAAATGCTCTATTCTCACTGCAGGCTCAGTTTTACAACAGCATTGACAGATTGTGTAAAGTTTTTGCAGAAAAATTGACTTCACCTACTGATATTTGGCAACACTCAAGTGAGATAGGAATGTTATGCACTGCCAGGCAGAGTTACAAATTGCTATAGCAAAAAATATGCGTCTTCCACAAAGGCATCGATGACAGAACACCGATTCTAAGTTACTTAAGTTAAGAGATACAAAATTAAGAAAATTATGTTACTTCCATATCAGGAGATCAAAATTACATCAAATAAGCGTAAGAAAAAACTTCAGCATTTGCTTACTTTATAACCTAACTATTAACAGAATCGGTTCATTTTTTTTTTATGTAAAAGAAAGATAACAAAATAACCAGAATTTATTCAACAGCCTTGGGCTGATGAATAAGTTGTAGAGACTAGTGAATAAGTTGGTGAATATTATGTAATCGAACATACTCCCTTCATTACAACTCTATTGCTTGAGTCACACTATCAAAGCTAGCCATCAAAATATTAAGGTCAGGTGTTGTGATTAGCTTATTCGATGACTTGGACCATAACAGCACTTGACCTTGACATTTTGATCGAGTATTTTGATAGTGTAACACAGGCTTATGGATATAGTATAAAACAATACGACAGGAAATTAATGAAGTGACAATCATCATGAGCAAGATAATGATGCTCGACACCAAGAGCCACATTCTGTAACGTCGCATTGATCAATTTTCGAAGGTTATTAACGTTATCTCAAGACTGATAAAGGACTCGATGATTGACCAGATAAAATAGGCTGTAAAAAAGGTAAAAAATTGAAAACTTGAGCCCAACGAGTTATTTACATTATTCGTTTGAATTTATTTTCGGCAGTTCAGTTTTTCCGATGGCCGATGAGAATATCTCTTATAAACTAAGATTACACCGTGTAAAATATCCTCATGGTTCTATTTAAAACAAAACATGTTAAACAAAGAATGCAATGAATAGAAGAAGGAACGTGTCAAGATTCAAATGAGTAATTCGAAAAATTTGAGTAGAAAAAAAGAGAGCCAATTCTTCAGTTCTTGGCTAAGCAAAACAAACTAACGTCAGAGTTTCCCCATCATGCTATGGTTTTTTAATGAACAAAAACAGCTCAACTGGACACAGAAAGTTTCTGAACATTCCACAGAAGACCGAGTTGTGCTACCACATTTAAGGATTCTTGCCTTCAGTTTTGATTCCTTCTTCGATTTTGCCACCAGCATCTCCCTTTGCTTGTTCTAAACGTGGTTTTTTACTGGACGGCGTGGATCCATTTTTATATGACCTGAAAGTAAAACAGAGGAACATTGTCAGTGTCAAGAAACTAATCAATTCAAAGGGTGTTAAAATATAAAGAAAATCTTGTAATTTGCGACTAGGTGGTCTATTAGAGTGGCAAATGAGGGGCAAAGCTTGAAGTGAAGCTAAGGCAACAACAGATTTGATAAATTAATGATCAACCGGCATTTACAAAATTTAAAAAAAAGAATGATAGAAAGAGAGGGAAAAATATAAATCAAATAGTAAAAAAAGGTGAGCAATTAATAAATCAATGTGTTGTCGGGAAGATGAACATTTTTTAGACTGTTCACTGAATGAAACGTACCCGTAGTTGGACAGTGGAGTGCCTAGGAAGCATAGTTAATAATAAAATTGAGGGTGTAAAAAATTTGAGAAAAAAATAAATCAATCAATAAAAGAAAATAAATAATTGAAACTTGCTACCAATTCACTATATCCAAGAGCTAGCACAAGAATAGCGGTAATCTCCAGAAACAGTGGTTAAAGCGGTCATATTTTGCCATTCACTTTGTGTGATTTCTTAACCTGATGAGATAGCATAGTAAAGGCTAAAGAACAATACCGCTTGGCTGAGGATTTTGGCGAAAATAATTTAGCACCTTTGCCGCATTCTACAATATAAATTCGCAAGCTGATGTTTTGATTTTTTCTGATTCCATGTGGAAGCACTGTAATAAAAGTATAAAAAAAACTTCAGAACTAACATCGGACTTACAGTTAATTTTCCTCCCCTTTTTTCTCTTTTGTGTGGTCTTTGGGCTCTGTTCCTGTATTGTACTTAAATACATCAATTATAAATAAATCAAACTTCAAAATTACAAAAATGGCGAAGTCTTTTCTTCATACTGAAAAATCGTCAGTTTGCGGATAGGCAGCATTGTTCCTTAGCCATCAATGTAGAACCCATGCACACAAAATGGCAGAAAATATGTTTACTCATTAATTTAAAACCTACCTCTGATCTTTCCTGTTTCCACTTTCATCATCGCTGTCGCTGAATTCGTTATCGTGGGAGATGCGTTTATCTTGATCTCGCTGTGGCTTCCTTTCATTCGGATCGACTTTGTCCTCGTCATCATTCTCGTCCTTGATGGCATCTTCTGGGATCGCTTGGACTTGAACTCCAGGAGCATGGGGTAACATCCGTAGATTTTCAAACAAGCGTGTCCTATAAGAAAACATCCGATAAAAGCCCGACATAATTAGTATCATCAAGCTACATTTCAAAGCAGACATGTTAAATTTTGGTGTCTTAAGATTAACGAATTTGAACTCAAATCTGGGTACTTAATAATTTCTTTTCAGTCTTGACTATCTAAATTCACTCTCACTATTGAAATTGAAATAAGCTACTTGTCCACAAATTTGAGAAGCGAGAGTAGAAAAGTAAAATGAATTCTATTGTTAATCTTCAAACTGTGAAGGTATGCTTTTTTTGAGGGAGATTTACTTTTTTCTGATTTTCAAGATTGGCAGGAAATTAGAAGATAATACTCTTTTCCTCACTTCAGCTGATTTTCGAGAAAACCTCTTGCGCCAATTGGAAAGAGAGAGGTTCGATGATTACCTCAGTGTTGATTCTTGTTGTTTCAAGTTATATCAATGAAAGAAGGCAAAGTAATACCTTCCTCACTCTTACTTTTCGTTTTTCCCTGAAAAATTGTTTAGTTCTTATTGAATAAAGCATTTGCATTCAAGAGGTAGATGAAAAATCTTTGAGTGTCCTACTTTAATAGTGGTTAAAAAGCAACTGCCTGGTGGACTGCCAAAGTTTCAATAAATAATCTAAATTTGATTAAATGGGTGCAATAAAAATTGAGCTCACTTGATTTTTTCTAAATACTCTTGAGTGTTCTGATTTGCCATGTTGGAAGGGCTAATATGGAGTTTAAAATCTGGGCCGAAGTATTCAAAATAGTCATTGTAAGGTAGCTCATTAGCGATCTCAACTCCAAGAGCCACGGATGTTTCATAGGTCCAACAGCGAGAAACATTACGAATAGTATAACCTCCACCACCAACCATCATGAATGGTAGATTGTACTTCTTCACAAACTCTACACACTTTCCATGACCTGAAAAATAGTTGGAGGAATAATTGAAACTTAAATGGAAAATGGTAAATCTGATGAGCCAGAGAAAAATTAGACCTGTAAGGCCCTAAGTATCTTCTAAAAAACTACATAAGATAAAAAAAATGCATTTTTAATGTACTCAACCTAGCTTTTTTCAACTTATCTAGGTACCTTGTTTTCGTTTCAAAAAACTGATTGTTGGGAGTGATTCAGGTTTATAAGAAAAGTAATACACAGGAAAATTGAAGAGAAAAAGTTTAGTAGAGGCAAAAACATCAAGAAACAACTGTGATGGAAACAAACAGTAGACAAGGTAAGCTGTGGAAAAATTTCTCCTTGTTTCTCCTGCTAAGATCCAAAGTGAAGGAAAATTTGCAATTAGGCTGAGAATGACAATCCGTTTAGTCCAAAATACGAGATGGTTTTGAGTATTTCAAAGAAAAATATATTCCTCATGGCGCACACCATACCTTTGACAGTCAAGTTGAAACAACCAAGCCGATCTCCAGTTAAAGAATCAGCGCCGCATTGCAGGACTACAGCACTAGGTTGGAACGTTTCCATAACTTTTGAGATAATCGGTACAAAAATTGATTCATAGCTCTCATCATCCATGCCATCTCGTAATGGAATATTAACAGCATAGTACTTGCCTTTTCCAGCACCAATATCCTATTGCAATTAAGAACTTGTTATCAAAACAGATGTGCAAATGAACCTAACATAGCATGAGTTACCACCGAGAACTTTTGTAGCTATTAGTTACTATTATGGGATGAGAAGAAGGCAAATCTTGATTACAATCATTCAGAGAATAAAACAACACATAGTTTCCTATGAAATGTTTCAAGAATATTTGACTCATGAGGGAAAGAAGTCACCAAGAGCTTTCAGAGATGGTAATGATGGATTTGCCATCAATAAAACTAGATGTGTTCATTTTTTAATGGAGAATTTGCAAGGGTCTGAAATTTGATGAATTTCCTGTTTAAGTGGAATCCTCTGAGTGAACTGAACACGAAGATACCCTTGATTCATAAATTGAGCAATTATTAGAGGAGATATGACAAAATAACCGATTCTGCTAAAATACATGTGTTTAAATGGGAAATGCCGCCAGATGACGTCACAAGGCGGCACATTTTCTCACTTTTAAATCAATTTTTCTCCAATTTCCCATGTCAGAAAAAAATAATGAAAAATATTGCGAACTCAGCTCATTAGGCACTTTCAGATGAAGCAATAAAAAAATTGCGTGCAAATTCTCCATTCATAAAACTTTGTGAACATTAATAATTCGTAAGCCAATGATTATTCTAGATACCCAGTTGAACATTATTGTCATAAGCAATGATCGATTTGTTGCAATTCATTAACTTGGACTTCACTTTCATCTTGATGAATGAAATGACCCTGTAGGTCAAAGCAATTTTCTTTAATCTAATTGCATTTACATACCCAAAAGCTTACGGATGTTGAAAAATTGAGAGACTCTTTGTCAACTGTCCATACAAAAAGTTGCTAAATCAAACATATTAATGGTTGAGTAATTGAGAACATAGGAAAAATATTCACCCTGAGATCACCAGTTCCAGGAAAATATTCGCCATACTTGTGGAATGATACAGTCATGACACGATCCGTAGTGTAGAATGCTTCCTCAACACCGTCTCCGTGATGCACATCTATGTCTATGTATAAAACTCTTTGGTGATATTTTAATAGTTCCAAGATACCTGGAAAACAGAAATAATTCATGGAGTGAAAGAAAAAATCATGTGGGAGTGAAAGAATCCACTTGTAGACCTGCAGTTGTAGGGATGTAAAAAATACCCTTCGTTGCGATCCATGGATTTGGAGGACATTGGGCAGATCTTGAGATGTGAGGCAATTTTTAAAAGTGATTACCTTTGCTCCTCTCTCCTTCCTTTGTGACTAGGGAAATTAAGGTCACTTGAAAATTTTGCAGTGTGATCTCAAAAAAAACGATTAGGACTATGGAACTTGTTGCACCTTCTTGTCATAGAGAATAAATTTCAATGCAACTGCATACTTGATTTATTTCTTGAATAATGACTGTTTTCCCCTTCACTTACACCGAATGAAACCATGACTTTGACTTTTTTGGAGGGCTAATTTCAAGACCATTAGAGTCTCAGCATTCTATATTAATCTACTTAAAACATGTCCAGCCAATACTGGTTTAAAATTTGTCACTTAAAACATCCTGTTGGCACTAAAGAATTCCTGACAGGGATGCAAAAATTTCTTGGCTTACCCCAAAATTTGATGTTCTGCTATAATTGCGCCTCTACATAACACAAAACACTTAGAATTTTCTTACCCAAGAGCAGAGCGCTTGAATGCTTCCAGCACATGAGACAGCCTGCGCGTTTTTACATAAGTTGTCTATGAAACCAATCGAGATGGGTAAAAAAAAAGCCTTCTCTAATTTTCAGACCTTTCCCCAATTCTCATACACGCGGCCACAAAATCATGATAGCATGATAAAGAACATTCTGCACTCCTCTTATCGCCAACTAAATTTAAAGCATGATATGTCATGAAAGGTTATCATATACCTGATAAAAGAGAAAGATCTATGAAAGTAATCTCTCAAAACAAACCTAAAACGATATCGTTGACATAACAAAATCCGGATGCTTCTGATTTTTTGGCATGATGGAGACCTCCACCCCAGTTAATGCATATTTCTGAGGCTTGCTTGTTTAATTTCACCGCTGCAGCAACTGATCCACCAGCAGATAATTGACAGAATTCATACAAACCATCAAAGACAGGGCAGTCCTCTCCGACATTGACTGTTCATAGAGAGACGAAACATTTATTAGAAAACAGCAAAAAATTGTTCGTTTTCATTGATTAACTGGAAGATTTTTGGATAGAGTGAGCAAGAAATACTTCTTCTTTCCATACAAGAGGAAGGAAGTAAAAATAGATCGATGAAAAGTTAAAAATAAAAAAAAACTCAACACTTATAGTAGTCGAATTAACTATCCATACAACTGATCACTAATTGGACGGAGTTAAACAGAAAGGAACCAAGCCACATCGGGATCGAACCGAGAAAAAGAGGTTTAAAGTTTGGCTCCTGCATAAGACTCAATGTTAAAGATAAATTCAAGTTCTGTTTCTGCAAAATTTGCTCCAACAAAAACTTTGAATTTTTGGCGATAGATATTGGAGCAATGGTTGAGTTCAAAACCACTCATAACTCAATTTTTTCCAAAATGTGGGTTGGTTCCTTTCTGCTTAACTCAGTCCAATTAAGGGTATGTTGAAAATCTCTTTGTCAGAGTACTTACATCTCTGCATCTGTTTATTGTATTCTGAAATGTTGTCTGGCCGAATACTACGCAGAAACCGTATGTATTCATCACTATGAAATTTGGTCATTTCTTCAGCAGTAGCTTTGTGAGGTCTCTGTAAAACACACAAGAAAAAAATAAAATAGTGCATTGCCAATCATTTCACTGCCAGTCAGCAGACTGTAAAGCTAATCTTACAGGCCTTTTCAAAACCATTGAGGTTATTAATGGAAGAGGTGAATGTATGAAATAGAGTCATTTTAAATGACAGGCATAATTTTTGTTGCATACTTTGCACCTCCCTCTCGAAAAGAAAGTGAAGTGAAACAAGAACAAAAGCGGAAAATTCTAGATGAAGTCAGAGGAAGACATTATTCTTGATGTCCAAATTTTTTACAAATTAGTATCGGCCATTTTCCTTCGAAACCTGGAAGAGCAAATACTTGTTTAAGATTTTTTTAGGTTCTTTATCCTTTCAGGGAACTACAACCTTGAATGGGAGCTGTTATTCATAAAAGATGTAAATTATAAGATTTTTTTTTACAAAAATGTAGAAAATTGAAGTTGAAGACTTTTTCAACTTCATCAAGTTTTTTCAAGTTCTTTCTCATTCCCATCTCCCACTTGGCTGATAACTGAGAAATTAAGGAAACCAGTCCAGAAAATTGTTTAGTACAAAAATAACAAACAAACTTCAGAGAGTAAGACAGATTAAGTGCAGTAATGATTATCGGAGGAAAAAATGAATATTTTAATCAAACCACATGTATATTATCAGCTGAAATTGTTTGATCATAGGTGGAATCATGACAAAAAAAAACAGCTTAAATGAATTTCCTCACATAGACTTCCATCTTCCTATAGAGGCCATAATTTAGCAGCAAATTGTGGGTCATCCTTATGCGATGGGGCTTCATGGGATGGCCTTGTCCATAATAGTAATTTCCAATATCACCTGGATAGCAAAAAATTAAAATGTAAGAGCAGGTAGAAAACGCCAACTTATACTGCATTAAGTATTAGCCAGCCTGGGTCCTTTGATTATCCTACTATGCCTGCATCTTAACCCTGAAACAATACTTTATGCCAGTCGATGGCCCTGCCCCCTGGCCGTAATTTTTTGTGCTGTAGACGAGTGCTAATGGTAAGTTCAGTAATTATTAGTCTTGGGAATGAATTATATGATGTTTGAAATTCCTTGTTCTAGGCATATGAACCACTGATAATTCTACAGGGTAGTGTGTATGAATCAATTAATGAATGAATAAATAAGGGACTTGCTCGCATGTCATGAGGTAGTCAAAATCTCGCTGGAGGTTGGAAAAATCCTAAAAATAAAAGAAAAGAAAAAAAACCTCCTCATTTAAGTCCTGTCTAATAAGGAAGAGCTCTAGGCGGCAAGCTGAGATATCGTTAGATGTTCACACATGACGTACTCGTATTGGATTCATCAGAGATCAAGCATGCTAAAATGTTGGTTATGTGCTTTTCAGTCCATGCAAACTTACAATCCTCTATAGCATAGGTCAAGCAGTGAAATAACTATCAATCATCAGTCAGCAAATACTCAAAGCTTGAGCAATAGAAGTATGTATTTAGAGGGAAAACTTTGTTGCACCTATAAAATTACACAAGGCAGGCTGAAACCCGCCACCACCTCATGTGTTGCTTGCAATTTTAATGAGGCTATCTCCCCAAGATTTTAGCTTTGGAAGTTAGAGAGCTGTAAATTTGGGAGGATTCCACTTCTTTTTCGAGATTAAAATCTGCCAAATGAATACTTGGCACGCCACCGGCCCTTCTTTGGTTTGTCTGATGAGAAGTTATCAAACTTAAAAAGACTATAGGAGGCTCTCATAATTGTCTATAGATTGGGAACTGATTCCGATCGTGAGTGAATATATGATTTGCAAAGCTGAATGAATGCGTGGTTAAATATGTAAGTAGAAGAAATCTTACAATCATAGTAGTAGCAAACGCGCTTCTTGCTGTGAGGGGCAGTCATTGTGAGATTCAACTGATTGAAGTGCTTCACTTGCACTGGTTACAGTATTGAGAACTATAGTGACAGAATTTCCGAGAAAATTATACTTAATCACTGTGATAATAGATTGTTCTTATCAATGTTAGGGTAAAAATTCATTAAAAGTTTTTTGGTGCAGAACAGAAACAGGAGAAGGAAATAGACCAATAGACTGTCATTGTTTACAATGGAGTATAGGCAACACGCAATACGATTTTCGTTTCACTTTAAAATTCTAATCGATGACGTCATGTGGTAACCTTCCATGTCTTTGCTTTGATGGGCAAGCGTCACTCACCCAGCGCTCTCTGTTGTCGATGGAAGGAATGATCCGACGTTGTCTTGTCGATTGTCACTCGAAAAATTTTGTTTTGAATTTCATTCTAACTTGAATTTGAGTTTACTTGCATTTTTAGTTGAGTGCAATTATTAAGTGCATGCCATAAGGCTTTAAAGTGAATTTGGACTCTTATCACGGCTAGTATTTCGCAGTAAAAATGCAAACACCTCACAGCAAAAAGCGTGTTTGCTACTACTATGACAGTAAGTAACCCTATTCTTCCTTCGCTGTGGCTCTCTTTTTGAACTTAAAAGCGGAAGCCTTATCTTCTGCTTTTAATTTCACAAGTATTTGCTCTTCAATTATGAAATGTGTCCTTCCTTTGACAGGAATAATAATTTGTCAGATGTGATTGGCATCAGAGAGTCAGCGACTGCACCTCAGACTGTCAGTGCAGCGGCCGCCACTCCGTCATTTGAATGTTTAAAATATGTAATCATAAAAAATTCCAAGAGACTCAGTTCACTCCACACTTTAATAACATGAGTGCTGCTGTCCTTTTTAAAACCTGCTCTAAGGATAAGAAATTCATAAATTCTTCTGAATATTTAAAGTTACATCTAGCACTAAGACATTAAGCGCATAGACTCATTTGTTTAGGATAGTCTGAGAATTAGATTTCAGTCATAAAAATGTATTGTTCTCAGAATATAGTACCATCAAAAATTGATTATAGCTATTTTAAGTGCGCTTGTTTTATTTTCCCTTTCTCTGAATTTCCTCTAATGGTCCCCTCTTTTTTTCTTAGGTGACATCGGAAACTACTATTACGGCCAAGGCCATCCAATGAAACCACATAGGATAAGGATGACCCATAATCTCCTCCTGAACTATGGTCTATACCGGAAAATGGAAGTTTATGTGAGTATGACGCGTTTTTAGTTAATTAAGTGAGACCACTCCTTTTCAACCTTCTATTTTGCCTCCTGTCAGTCAATACTAATCCAGAGAAATGGGAGGTACAAAAGAGAGAAGCATAAAATTCATGAAGGCAGAGAAAATTCACCGAGTCCATATTTTTTCTTAATATTCCAAAAATTTCATGTGTTACTTTATTTACTGGTTGAGAATTGATATTTATCCTAATACCCTGTAAAGCCTGAGGCAAAACCACCCTGCATCTCAAGGTGTCCTCTCCCCCTTTTAAGGTGATTCATCAAGCTCAAAAGAAGTAGTCAAACCGGCATGCGATATTTCTCATCTTTTAGGTAAAAAATCTCGGAAGATTTTGCATATTTAGCTAAACAAAGGACGATAGCCCCTCTGCAGGAGCCTAAATAATCAGTCTGAACCTCAACATTGGCAAAATTCAGAGAAATGAAAGCAGAATAGTGTGTGGAAAAAAATCTCGCATTCCACTCAGCTATCGATTTCTGTATCGAATACAAGTTTTTTTTCTGAATACTATTCTGCTTTCATTTCTCTGAATTTTGCCAATTTTTGGGGTTGGAATGATTCTATAGGCTTGGGCGCAGGGGCTATCGTCCTTTTTTGCTAAAAATTCTAAACCAGCCGAGAACTTTGACCTAATCGATGCGATATATTGCATGCCAGTTCGACCACATCACTTGAGCTTGACGAATCACCTTGATAGCTTTGTATTTTTTGTAGAAAATGGGAGAAACTCCTCTCTTAGCTGTGATAAACCTTGGATGATCCAATTTCTCTGGATTCTCCTGCGAACAGATGCCCTCTGTTTTAGGAGAACTGTGTCTTTTTTAAATTGATGCTCCTCCTTGTGCTAGAATGAACTTGTATTCGTAAGAAATACAAGGTAATCCAAAAGTCTCACACCACCTATACAACCTCAAGGGTTCTTGCCGTTTTTCACAGTGATCCCATGAAAATTTGTTGAGAAGAAAAGTAGTTTCCTTTGACCTAGGAGCACTCACTAAATTTTAAGTCTTTATCCTAAATTTGTCCGAAAGTTACAGAGGTAATGGCATTGCAGGACTTTTGGATCACCTTGTGAAATTTTATACATTTTTTATTCAATTATTTTCTAAAATCACCGTGATCTATCAACTAAACAAAATTTCCTATCATAGGGAAAGAATGAGAATGAAGTTGTCTGATGGTCTCTATATCCTCCAAAATTCTTGGAACAAAAATAATTGTGTTAGAAAAAGTACCATGAGTATTTTCAGTAGCTAACTAATTATCATTCATTTACAGAGGCCACATAAAGCCACAGCTGAAGAGATGACTAAATTTCATAGTGATGAGTATATCAGATTTCTTCGCAGTATTCGACCAGATAACATGGCTGAGTACAACAAACAAATGCAAAGATGTAAGTTGATTCTACCTCTTATCTTTTCATCTCTCTTCATTCTCAAACATGCCGTGCGAGGCTTTTTTCCTGTCTTCTTATCTAGCTTCAGAAAGAGTGAAATCAAAATATTTTTGCTCTTGCATAATCTCCCGTACTAAGGAAGAACGCTGTATGAACCCTCAGGTGTTGCCAAATTTCCCTTTATGAAATACACATTTTCAAGGAAATCTGTCAATATTTTTCTTCCAATTTATCCGAGCATTTTATCTGCAATTTACTTAATCAAAAGCATCTGAAAATTTCAAAGACTCTCAATAATTTTCTTCACGATAAATATGTTATCACAAAAAATCTGGCAACCTTAGAATGTTTGTATGGCGTTTTTCAATGGCAGGGTAGCAATAGAGAAGAGTGGGCCATTAATTTTAATTGTTAAGAATCAGCTTTTAACCTTCGCAGGCTATTGCTATCGCATTCATTTGGACTATAGTCAATGAACAAACACATGAAACTTTTGCTGCCACCAAGAATCAATACTTGAGTGAATCAATGAACTATCAAATATTTTTTTAAAATTATACAAGCTTCTATCATTTACATATTACGTGTCATCTAATTTTAAGAACATCTAATTTTAAGAACATATGTTTCCCTTAATTTTTCAAGGAAGTTTACCCCTGGTGGACCTCGATGGTTAACCCTGATGAGATCATAAACCCCCAACAAATTCCAATCTAACGGACTTCATTCTCAGCCTCAAACCTCAAACTATAACTGAACCCTCCAGCTCATAAATAGTTTTTATTCTCACTCAAAGAATTTGCTCGGCATAGATTAGGAAAAAATCAATAAATTTAAAACTAATAGTCACTTATAAAACTTATCAAATCATCGCTCTCCTGACATGAATGTTCATTCGGATTTTCGTCCAAAAAATAATGCAAACAGGATGGATAGGAAACAGGAAATCGGGGAAAAATCAGGGAATGCAACTCGACTGGGAAAAGTCAGGGAATTTTTTTTTGGAGCCGGGCTTTACATAAAAATCGGATCCACAACAGGCCAGCTGATCAGAATTGTGCCAACCCGATAGCACTTTCAAGCGGTCAAAAAACCCAGGGAATTTCATTGGAAGAATGATAAAATGAAATGTTGGTAGCCTTCTCATTTTCTGTTCGAAATCGCAGGAAAAATAGCGTGTTTTGAGATGGAAAGCGAGTAATTGTTTAGGATTGAACGCATCCGCTGGAAATTCCCCTCATATTTCGCAATACTGAGATGAATTGCTCGTGATTTCTCACTTTGAACAAGCAAAAACCAAGCAAGCAACTGTTCGAATTCCGGAGTAGGTATGTGGTATCAGCAAAGTAAAAGGTTTTTGCACATTTTTTTCACAACTGAACAATTATCCCAAAGAAGCAAGAAACTATCTATCAAAACATAGTCAAGTCGCACATTGTGCCTATATTTGGAAATCTCAGAAAGTTATTCCGTCTGTTAGGTACTTATTAAATTATGGAAAGTATGTTAACATTGACGCAAAGTCTTAAAACAAGTGACTCTCAGGGAAATTCAGGCTTTGTCTGGCAGTAACTGACTCCTTTTTCATTGAAGGTAGCAGATTTAATCTCACCCTAAGAGCCTCTTATTTTCAAACAGATTGATAATGTGATCAATTACTCCATGGAATCCCAATATTTTTACCATTCACTCATTGAAATTTTTCTCCTATTTCAGTCAATGTCGGGGAAGATTGCCCTGTTTTCGATGGCCTCTATGAATTTTGTCAATTATCTGCCGGTGGATCAGTAGCAGCAGCCGTCAAATTGAACAAACAGGCATCAGAAATCTGTATCAACTGGGGTGGTGGACTCCATCATGCAAAAAAATCAGAAGCATCAGGCTTTTGTTACGTCAATGATATCGTCCTCGGTGAGCTTCTTTAACTAATTAACCACTTTGCAGTAATCGTAAATAACTGTTTGAATTATTCCCAGCCTCCCTATTTTGAAGAACCTTATTTTTTTCAAATTTCAAAAAAATTATTTTCTCTCCTTTTCTTTTTTCCTGCTTTAATTTTGCTAGTTTTCATGTGTTTGCAGGTTCCAATAGTCAGATAGCCAAGAAAAGTCGGCCCTCCCATGAAATTCATTATTCTTAATGTAAAATTTTTTATTTCAGGTATCCTAGAATTACTGAAGTATCATCAGAGAGTACTGTACATTGATATTGACGTTCATCATGGTGATGGTGTAGAAGAAGCGTTCTATACTACTGATCGTGTCATGACCGTATCCTTCCATAAGTATGGTGAATATTTTCCTGGCACTGGAGATCTCAGGGTATGAGTTATTTCTCTAACTTTATTTAAATTTTATTGCAGTTCATATCTAATAACAACTTTGTATGCAGGAAACAAAACTAAGCCTGATGGATCAGAAATGGCTCAGTCTATTTTCATCTGGTAGAATATCCAGTTTATTTTCCTAGGTTATTGTAGAAATTAAAGTTCTGTCTACTGTTGACTGTAAAACTGTGTATGATGCTTGCAAATGCTGCTACCAACGCAGAGCCAATCACTTTATTCCTGAGCTACTGTAACTGGTCTCCAAATTTTTTAATGAAGCAAGGCCTGTAACCATTGGCGCATCCAAAAAAAAATTTAGGTTAAAAGAATGTTTTGGGGTAAAATTATCGGCAAGCTTAGGTCTTAATCGCTACCAGTTCCCATAATTTTCAATTCAATGCTTATGTATAAGAAAACACTCCAAGATGGTCAATGTGCAAAAACCGTGGCAAATGCTTGATTCAAGTAAAAATATAAATATAACGATAGCAAAATTTAAATATCCTGATCATGATTTTGGTGTTTCTAAGCCTCTGCTCCTAATTTATTTTTAGCATAGAAAATGCAACTATGTTGCCGGAGACTTCCACATAATATTAGCAGAACATAATGGGTAATCACTGAAATCGTAAAAAAATTAAAATATTTTTCCTAGAATGAAATATAGGGTAAGTAATGACAATTTTGCAATGTTTCAAACGTGATTAAGTTGTTTCTAAATTAGGTTATCAAGAAGATTTGTCATGTTGTTGCACAGCCCCACTTCGTCAGTAGGGATATGATGGAGTAAATGGATTTTCTAATTTTTGGCTTGATTTTTTTTTAATTTAGGACATCGGCGCTGGCAAAGGGAAATACTACGCTGTTAATATTCCTTTAAGAGACGGAATGGATGATGAGAGCTATGAATCTATTTTCGTTCCGATCATCTCTAAAGTTATGGAAACATTTCAACCAAGTGCCGTTGTTTTACAATGTGGTGCTGACTCTCTAACAGGAGACCGTCTGGGTTGCTTCAATCTCACTGTAAAAGGTATCAATGATTATTTTCATGTTTTATACCAACAGGGTTTTTTTTTTGTTTTTTGACCAAAGTTTGGTGAGCACTTGTGGCTGAGAACCATGCTTACTTTGTATGATGGCAGTGCGTTTGATTCTTAACATCTTTCTGGCCAGATTGTGTCTGGAACATAACCGGCCAAGGGAATATGCTGTATGAACATTTGAGTGTCATCAAATTTCCTCTGATTAATTGTTCATTTTTGAAGAGTGATATGAATATTTTCTCTTGAAATTTTCAGATAATTTAGATTTGACTGGGTGGAAAATATATGCAAATTTTCCGGAAAATTAATGCTGTATCGAAAAAATTTTGGCAACGTCTAAAGCCTCATACAACATTCTTCCTTGGCACTGCAGAATATTTTGCAACTTTCTGCAAAAAGTAGTTTTTTTTCTGACCTCAACTGACAAAATCATCATCATTAAGTCAACTCCAGGATTGCTGCAGTAAAATTTGTTCTAAGAATAAGATTTAAATAATAATTTTTTTTGGATAAATTCTTTATTACGTATAAAAATTGGACTGCATTTTGCAATTTGGAACTATAAATTCTGGCTCCTCTGGAAAAACATATATGTGCATAGGGAAACTAATGGCACATACGTTGTTTTTAAACCGGGCTAGAATCCATAGGTCCAAATTGAAAAATGTGGTTGAATTTTGATGGGATGGTCTTAAATCACTGTAATACCAAAAAGTCATAACACAGAAAGTTGTTATATCAGAGTATTACTGTACTACTCTAGAAAGAGGTAACAAAGTTGGCAAGCGAAGATAGTCAGTAGAATATCTATAAATCCAATCAAACACAGTAACACTATGAGGTGACAAGGCAGCTAGAGGGCATGAAAACTAATATTAACTATGTAAGATTGGCAGGATGAGATGGTGGAACAAAACACTCCAAGAGATATTAATGTTTTGATTTTTTCAGGCCATGGAAAGTGTGTAGAATTTGTGAAGAAGTACAATTTACCGTTCTTGATGGTCGGCGGAGGAGGCTACACAATCAGAAACGTATCTCGCTGTTGGACTTACGAAACATCTGTTGCGTTGGGTGTTGAAATAGCCAATGAACTTCCTTACAACGACTATTTCGAGTATTTTGGTCCTGATTTCAAACTGCACATCAGTCCGTCAAATATGGCCAATCAAAACACTCAAGAGTACCTAGAAAAAATTAAGTAAGTTGAGTTGTTGTTTATTTTTCACATTTTCATGTTTCCCTCTTTGACAATTTTGGGGAATTTTTTTTTCTTTCTCTCTTTGGTTTCTAGCTACTCATATTTTTGTTTCAGCTGTCAATATTTTTTTTCTTGATCTCCAGCATTCCTAGTTTTGGAAGTCTGTTTGCATGTGAGAGGAGCTTACATCTGGTTTAGAAAAGGCATCGAAATATTAGAAGATCAAAGGATCTTCCTCTCTCTATTTAATATACATCCTTGTCCTCAGAAAGTGAGATCGCTGTTCAGAAAATTCAAAATTGAGGTATTAGCGCTACTGCTTAGGAGAGTCGCTCAAACATTTTGGCACATAAAAAATTCCCAACCATGTCAAAAGAAGTCATAAGTATGACAGTTTGTTCTTTGTAGTGCGGAATAAGTCGTTTCCAGAAAATACTATTTAAAAGTTTTCATCCAACATATTTCAGGCTCTTTCTTGTTGGATTGATATAAAAATATTCATCCCTCATCACCCCCATAATGGATTTAACTTCCTAAAGCTGATTCTTCATAATACTTTAAAGTCCTTTCTTCCGAAAACTCCACAGTCATACCTATTTATAACGAACTCACTTTTGATGAGATTCCGCCTGTAATGAAATAATTTCGAATCCTTGTATATTTTTATAAGCGGCCCATAGAAAAAGCCCGGTTTTACCTAATTCTAGGACCTGGATGTTCACTTCTAATAAAGTATTTGCTGACGAAAAACGGCAATTTTTTCTGAATACTTAGGAACAAAATTCATTGAAAAATATGTGAAGAAAATTCTAACTGTCAGAAGAGATATTTATAGCAATAATAATAAAGGACCTTTAGTACTAGCAGTGGCTAACAACACCCCCCTGGCCGATGATATACCCTCGGGTGATTCCGGCACGTCTCAGAGTACTGATACCTAGTTGTGTATTAAGTTGCAGTCAAGTGTGTAGTAAGAATGACATGTAAATAATAAGTCTTGTAAAGTGTATGATAACTATGTATTTTTCTGAGATTTAAAAAAAAAAAAAAAAAAAAAAAAAAAAAAAAAAAAAAAAAAAAAAAAAAAAAAAAATAATAATTCATTGAAACTTAGGGTGTTTTGGTTTTTGGTTTTTTGTCAACAAAGAAATCCGAGTATGCAGTCCCAATTTTTTTACCAATTGTGGTAGAAATCTTTTTCATAAAAAATCTGTTATTGTGCTTCAAGACCCCTTTTCCCATAGGTGATGTTATGTATTCAATTTATTGGTGTCCTGATGGAATCTTAAAATCCTGTTTCAGGACTCGCCTCTTTGAAAATCTCCGCATGTTACCTCATGCCCCTGGTGTACAAGTTCAAGCGATCCCGGAGGACGCCATCCCAGATGATATTGAAGATGAGGACAAAGTTAATCCTGATGAAAGAAAGCCGCAAAGAGACGAAGATAAAAGGATCACTGCTGACAATGAATTTAGTGATAGCGATGATGAAAGTGGAAACAGGAAAGATCACAGGTACCACTATGCTTCCAGACTGATTTCATAAAATCAAAACATTCTATTTTAACGCAACCGTTTTGCTTGCTTTCACTGTTTCCTAAAGAACTTTTCCAGACCTTGGTGAAGTTTAATTGGCGTTCCTGTCGAATTCAGATTTAGTAAAATCAGCTTTAGTTTCCAGTTTGATCTAAAGCTTACCCATCCAATCTTCCAGTGAATGAAGATGATAATTACAACTGATTACAATATATGTAACATTGAAGTTAAAGATTTAAAATTAAAAATTAAATTAGGTGAAATGGCTGGTCTAAAGTGTAAATGAATGTTGCAGGGGTGAAAAGTGAACTTGGGTTTTTTTTTAAAATTTTTGTTCAATGGTTCAGTAGTGGAGAAAGTAATCATCGAGCAGTTTTCCCTGAAAACATTTAAAAAAAACCCAAAAAATTGGATTCTTTCCCTGCTAAAACACGATAAGAAGCATCATTCTGAAAATGAATCGAGAAGCACCTCCTCGCATGATTATGAAGGTTTGTCATAGACACTTAGATATCTGTCCATTTGCAGAGATTATGAAACTTCTATCGTAATTGGCAAACAAGGATGGCAGTAATCATAAGTTAAGTCTTCCCCCCCCCCCCAAAAAAAAAATACTGTTTTTTTCTTCTTTTTAAATAGAGGTGGTCTCATTTCTTACTAAACTAGAGAGACTTTTTACTGTGAATCTATCTTTAAATCGCGTTTTCTTCCAGATCCAGAGATATTCTTTTAACTCAAAAAAAAATCTTAAGAATTATTGCAAACAAAAAAAAATTTGACTCTTGTAGAAAACTATTCCCAGAGTTCAATGTGATGACTGTCTTCTCTAGGTATATATATTCAACAATAAAGGAATCAATTAAATTAGGCTACATCATCAAAGAAAAATTAATTACTAATAATCAAATACAAACCAGAAATATCCTAGCAAAAATTGAAAAAAAACGGGGGGAAAAAGTAGACTGGGATAGCTTAGAAAGCAGAGGTATCAGATATTTTAACAAGCTTCCCAAGCCATTAAAAGAACTTTTCATTAAATCAGAAAATTCAAATCTATTCCTAAATAACATAAAAAATTACTTCATAGAAAACCCTTTTTACGAGTTAAAAGAATATCTCGACGCAAATCTCCCCAATCCCTAAATTGCCTGAATGTAGTCCCCTAAGTCTTAAGTCTTAGTTCTTCATTTACTGTTTTTTTATTTGTTTGTTAAAATTTTTGTTACATTTATTTGATGTTAAATTTTGTTCCATTATATTATTTGACGAGTGTTAAGCTCATAAATTTGTATGAATTTCATGAGGCTGTTGCATTAATAAATATATTATTATTATTATTATTATTTTCCTCATCTCTTTCAGATCATTCAAGAGCGGTCCATCAACGCCAAACAGCAAGAGGCCTAGATTAGAGCAAGTCAAACCGGATGGTGACACGAAAGTAGAAGAACCTGTGAAAACAGAAGTTAAAGGTAGTAAGCAATTAGCAGATTTTTTTTCCATCTCTGGCCTAATTTGTCTTAATTCCTGAATTTTACTAATGACAGGAAAAAGACTTGAGCTTTTGAGCAAGCCTCTGAAACCAATAGACGAATTTAGTGGTGACGTCACGGAACGATATTGTTGGTTCGATATCTCGAAAGTCGAAATGTGCCCCAACAAACAAACATAACCTCCAAAATGAACAATTGACGAAATAATGCTAAAACTGCCTGAAACCTAAAAATTGCTCCATGGGACTTAAAATTATGAAAGCTAGCCATTTACAAAAACGTTCGAGATCACAATCACAAGAATTGATTGTATAATAAGCTCATAATATCAGTGACAGTCATAAAGCGAATCCTCCTACCCCCCCGCCTAAATCCCGCAGATTCCTATATGTTCGTTTGTTGGGGCACGTTTCGACTTTCGAGATATCGAAATTAAATCGAGCTGTGACGTCACACTGAATTCGTCTATCCATGACATACGCAGCATCAGCTGAGAAATAATACCTCCTTTTTGTGACTGCTCACAGAAAAATGTGGGGTTTTCAGAATTAACATCTCAAGATTAAGGCTTTTTTATCATGGCACCACCATGTAAAGGAATTTTTCCGGATATTCTGGCATGGAAACATTGAAAAGGGTCAAGGCAAATTGTAGTTGTGATGACTTTAAATGAACAGACCTTCGGATGTCATTTTAAAGAGATGTGCTGTATACATACAAAGTTTTTCTCATCCATTTTCAGGACTCAAATCATCAGATTCAATTTCAATGCATCAAAGAAACTGAAGTACTCTAAAATTATTCTTAGGAACACTGAATAGTGTTTTCTGTTGTTTACTGAAATCCAATCACTCTAAGTAACACTAAGTTTTTGCATGTGTAGATATGCCTAAAGAGCCCATTTTCCCCCAATCCATCCTTTTTCAAAGGCAGCATGCAAGGCTTTGGAATGTTGTTGTGCTTGTGTCAAATTATTTTCAAAAATTCCTCTCAAAAATTTTGATTCCTGAGATGATGACAGTTTTGCAAAAATCTCAGGAAATTTTGATGGCATTAACTATCTGGCTAAATACCAGATAGCGCAATTATCTTGCATTCCGTATATCTGGCCCAACTCTAAACTTATTATATTCTATAATAAAATATTATATCTAGTGTATCAAAGTAGACATCATTAAGTTCTTAATTTTTATCTCATCTTTCTTTTGCAGATTCATAACATCTCTGAATTTGAAGTCTGAAGATAATCTCAATTATTTTAATGTGTTGTATCCTATCATCAAACAAGAAATCAGAAACCTCGCAAAAACTGCTCACAACCTACGAACCAGTAGATTGCTACAATAAGTTAAGAAACCTCTGCCTGACGAAGTTTTCTGTTCCAATCGACTTCCGGCACTATTTATTATTGTAATCTCCTGAATTCGATCATTCAGCGTTAAACATCCTTGTTCCTAAGCCCTCTCTCCCAAATAGCGTCAATTTGCAATCATGTTTTTACACTTTTGTTACTGAATTATCTGTATGTTCTATTGATCTCCTACGATTTTAATTTTTCGTTCCCAGTCCTTACATGTTGTCACGTCTTAAATGTGACTTTCGTTCTCCTATAAAATTCACTGGTCTTGATATGTTTACTTATTTTTTTTCTTAGTGTACAATGGTTAAGTGTAACCGAGAGTAACATTTACTATCCAATCTCATGAAAGGGCTCCTTTTCTTTGTAAACCTAGGCCTCGATGTTTCTAAGAATTATTTTCTCTTCACCTCTATAAATTCAATCTTATTTTATGACCTTAATTGTGATTCCTACATCATCTCCTGTTTAATTAAGCGTATTTTATTGATGTTATGATCGACGACTATGACTGATTGCACCTTTCATTCTGAAAAATTGTCATCAATGACCGTAATTTTTTTTCTGTCATTAGATTTTGCAGACTCATTTTGTGTCTCAATGGTAGAGTCAAACCAGAAAACATAATATCACCTCATTATACTTCCCTCATGGGCCTACTGCGATCATAATTTTTCCAAGGAGGGAATAGCTCTCGTCTAGAGTGTTTGATGTGTGACAGAGGGCAAAAAAAATTGAACGTTAAACGATTTCAAGATATGTCACGCTCTGAACAGCATTGAAAACTGCCATTTTTAGCATCAAAAGTGCTAAATCGAAGCTTTACCAGCATCGGTTTTTTTTTTTTTTAGATGATAGGAGGATGTTTGAAAAAGTAAATTTAAGTACTTTTAGATTGCATGGCAGGCATTTAAATAGAGAAGGGTAATTCTGTAGGTCAAAGTTTTTGCACTGTATTCATTGAATCTCCCATTTTAAAAACGATCGCGACCAATCTCGGAAAAATTAACTTTTTCAGGAGACGAGAAGAACTGCATAACAGCCAAGAAAAGAGTGTTTTTACGCCAAAAAAAATGGACATTGTTAAAAATCCCAGTTGGGTCATTTTCAAACTGTGAGATTCTATTGATAAAAGACCTCTTACCTCAGGCCCCTTAGGTGACAGTCAACGTTCTCTCTTCAAAACAACCTCTTTTTTGACCAGCAGTTTGACCTTTCCGATCACTGTGGAGAAATAGTGTTCTGCGTGCGCAAAGTAAATAAGTAATCAAACAGAATTTATCTTTTCGTCTATATCTGTAAAAATCGAAAAATAATTTATAATGATTCCTCGATATTTGATGGAATTTTCCACAGCATGTGATTAGTAATTAAACTGATTTAAGTTCATCCTTCAGCCAGAATTTTGGTCATATATTTGACCAAATCGTGCAGTGAGGATGTTCGTGCACTTGGATTGTTGAATGAGCGCGTGTTTGTGTGTACATACCGAGAATCTGAGTGTCTTAGTTCAATTTTTTGTCGATTAGCGTCAATAGCCATCAAAAGCGGATGTTAATTTGCTTGCATATCTATTTTTCTTCCCTTCAATGTAATCCCTGTTTTCCAGTTCATTTCAGTCCAGCAAGGATTGAAAATTGTAAAGTTTTTAAACTAGTTTCGTTTATATTTTTATATAACAATGAATTTCAAGCTAAAGTATTATCAGAAAGTTCAAGTTGATTGGTTACTATAAAATCTATGTCGCTATGATTTTTGTATAAAAATTCCAGTGAAATCTTGGTCATCCATAAAATTTGTGAAAGTTGGCCTTAGCCCAGAAAAGCTAATGCCTAAGTAGCAGAGTAAATGTAACATGAAGTGTTGGATTTGTTTGTAACACACTTCACAACGACTAATTTAAGAAATTTCAGAATGTGATAAAGAAATCAATTTGAATAAGTAATAAATTTAATAAACATTACTTTTGTTCATTTCAATTCATTCTGTTTAAAAGATGCAGTAAAACTTTCCACGTCCAACTCACAAGTGAGTAATCAGCGATTTTGGTTTTTGTCAGTTCACGCTTCTCTTTCTGCTCGTAAATGCGGAAAACTATTCAATTCAAATGGAGCACTAAGTCACTCTCGCTGTGTTTTATCGTAGAAGAAATTTACTGTGTGCTGACTTTTTTTTCGACGAGATAGAAGTGCCATGTATCAGACGTGGAGCAAAATGGTGATTCAATTAAGCTTCAGTTATTCCAACGTATGGGTTGATTTTGATGGCTAGTTTCACCTACGTTTATAGTGGTTTTTTGCCGGAAGTTTGACTTTTGTATTCATTATGTAAAATAAAAACGCTAACTGCTCACTTAAGAGATAATTTATAAGTTTTTGTTAGTTTCAACATATTCTGCAAGAAAATTTGATGAGACACGTCTCTAAGAGATCTAATTCTTCTTTGTGTTGCTGTTCTGGAAAATTTGCCACCATGCACTAAGCAGGTCCCTATTCTCTAGACAGTCACTCATACGTTGAAATATATAAAAGAAATTGGAAATGTTGTTGATGCAGCATGATTTATTTAAATTGCATCGATGAGAGATACAATTGGAGAACAATTTTTTATCAAAAGTTTTTAAACATTTTAAATCCCTAACAAAATTATATTTATTAATGATCCTTCATACATTTTAAAAAGCATATCGTTGGCCAAAGTGCGAAACCACATATCTCCGTTTGCGCCGTTGCAGACTTCCTGTCGTACTTCATCGTTTCATTGGAAAACTTGTCAACTAATTACTTTTGGATCTTTCCACAAGATGTCTGACTTAAATGACTAAAAGATAAAGAAATTTTACAGTTTTTTTCAGCCATAAGAAATGTGAAAGGCAAAATACAGATTACCATCAATCTAGGGAGATCTAACGATAAGAATGCGATAAGGTATTTTGCTTGGTTGTTTTTAATACACATAAAATACAGAGAAGAGATTAGTTTACTAGATGATTCAGCTCTATTTAAGATTAAAGGAAAACTACAGAGGACTGAAAGCCAGGATACGAAAATTAGTTTGCAATGGCCAATGGAGCCAAAAAATTGTCAATTAGGTTAAAAAAGTGTTAAGCACTTATGGGACTCAAAGGAGAATCATTAAATAAAAACAAAAATCGCAAAGCTAATCAGTATTGTATTCAACTGCGCTCAAAAGTGAATGTTGCTCATGAAACTTTGGTGGTTTAAAAAAAAAAGCCTATCAACAGGAGATTTGAAAATAAAAACTTAAATGCAATTTATTTCATACAAACTGACTATGGTAGACGCACGTGTCAGACAGTAAGTTGGAATTCTTTAGCCAACATGCGTTAAAAATCAGCATAAAGCTGAAAATCTCAATACAGGAGGAAAGAGCTCATATGAGAACAATTTTCCCTCAAAGAGATACGCTGGTTGGTGCAACACTAGTAACAGGTAATAAGGCTTATGCAGAGCTGTTTGGATAATAGCTCACTAGATGGCGCAAGTTTACTTGCTGCCAGCGACCGCTTGCCCAAGTCTCGAGCTGGCTTTCACAACACCTCCGAGCCTGGTAGCAGAAGATTCAGGAGGCTGCGCTGCACTGAGGATGCACTGATAATTTAAACTGAAATATCTCAAAAATTCAAGGAAACTTGTTCATCACATTTCTCAAAAGATTAAATTTTATTGGGGGAGATTTAGCAATGTTTGAATGTTAAAACAGCATTTTCCTTGGTATGGCAGTACGGGTATACGACCTCTATCCATCAATTGGACTACATTTTGCAGTTCTGAAATACAATTTATGACTCAGTTAAGAAACAACGCATGTGCTATTAGTTTTCTTGTGTATATAGGTGTTTTTAGGACCCAGAAATTGAAGTTCCTTATTCTGCCGTGCTAAGCCAGAACGCCGTAAATCCATCAAGATTTTCCTGCGGTTTTTGGAACTTATCACTACAATAAATAAAAAATATTTTACCCATGCACTTCAAATTTTCAGGTTAACTTCTTGATAGTATTTGCGAAAGAATTCTGTAAAAACATTGTCCCTAGGTACACAAGTTTTTCTGCGATGATAGATTGTTTCCATAAAATTTAAAATGGTGGTTACGGCGTTTTTGCGTTGCACGGCAGAATTGCAAAATGTAGTCCAATTCTTCAATGATCACATCTCTTATCTGATAAGAGCAGCATAAATTGGACGGGTTTAAGCGGAGTTAACCTAACTACAAAAGATGTTGCCTGATTTTCTCTGATATTTTTTTTTGGACAGAAAACCAGGCAACACTGAAACTTGATACAGGAGTAATAGGGCGATGTGAAATTTTGTGTGTATTTAAGGGTTATTTCACAGAAAATTTAAGGGCGTTAGGTAGTTTAGTTCAATGTTAAAAAAACATAAGAGTAAATTAGGTGATGTGAATGAAATTAGGCTGATTCTGTTTAAGCCCGCCCAATTAAGTGTAGACTACTTAATTACATGCTCTATCAACAAGAAGAGTTACTTTGCCAGTTATAAGCTCTTCTGCATCCGACACAAACATCAAAAGGAAGCTTCCGCTTTGGTATAACAAGGCACCTTGGCATTGAGGAATAACTTTATCATCCAAAATTATTATAATTTGTACAAATTACAAATGAACATATGGCAAACAGAAAGAGTAAATAATAATAATTTGACTCAAAGATGATTAACAAAATTAAAGGAGATTTGGTGGGATACTTTAAATTTGGCATAATTCAGAGAGGTAAAATCTTACTTACTACATAGACACAGAAAGAGAATGGTAATAAGTATAAAATATTTCCCTCAATGTGCGGCCATTTGTCGTCTTAACTAAATTTACTTCAACAATGTTAAACTTTAGAACCACCCATTTCCATCTCAATGCTTCAAAATTTCTGAACATTTTATCTTCTTCAGAGGCAAACAAACTGAAATTACAGCTTGAAATTTTTTCCTGTTTTCATTCACCTTATTGAACAGGGTCATTCTGTAACAATTTCAAATGAAAACGTTCCAAGTTCCTACAGCAAAGTTAAAACATCGAGATAAGTAGGCTTGGAGTTTAATCATCAATTCCCATTTTTTTCCATACTGTTTTGCATGGATTAATAAATAAATACTTTTTATCACTTCTTTTAAAACATAGTAACTTGCTTTGGTAATGTATCATGACAAAGAGTTTTCTTGCAAAGAGCTTTGATGAGATTTATAAATGGACTACATCAATCCGGGGGAAAAAAAAAATCACTTTTTTTAAATTAATTTGTTAAAACGGCCTTAGTAAAATAGCAATGGAGTTAGCCCCTTTCAATAAACTCAATTTGGACAATATTAAAGTTCAGTATACTGAAAAATTAAAAATGCAGGACTGTCATCATCAAACATGAATCCAACAACATCAAAATTTTCTGTTGTCTCATACACCCCCCCCCCCCAAGAGAAAACAACGGAATTACGTAATGAGTCTTTACTGCAGTGGTGATATGTATATTCCTATAATCTGACTTTTTCTCTCCCTCTCTATCATTAAATATTTTATCAGATTTTTTTCTGTTTTTTCTGTTTTTATTTTCTTTTTGCACCATGAATTTAAATATTATAATTATATTTATAATTATAATTAATTATATTATAATTATAATTATATTATAATTAATTTAAATACATGCCTTTTTGTACCTGAGCAGTGTCAAAAATTTGAAGATTTCGGAAATAGGCATGCTCAGTTCATGTTCAGAGCAAATCTTCATTTTAATTAAAATATCAGCCAGTAAGATTGGAAATACTACAAATACATCCTATTTTGTCAACATTACAATCTCACCTACTATGAACTTAATTATTATACATCAAGATAAGACTGTAACAAATCTAAATCTTGTCTGCGGAGCAGATTTCTCTCAAGATACACTTAAAATTAATTGAATGTGTCTTGTAGGATTATATTAAAAACTAATGATTAGAAATTTCCCTATCACAATAAGCCAGGTGACAACTATATTAATAGATTCATTCAGAAGAATGGTGAGTCGAGTTTCAATATTTTTAACAAGTTCTTAGATGAGAAAAAATAATGATCCATCATCATCACTAAGCATATGCCTTCCCATTGTGTGAGTTGATATTCACAACCTCACAAACCTAGCACTGAGACTAGATATTATCACAAAATGCAACCACGGAATTAGTTGATCCTTAATTTATATGGAACGTTTGTCACAATTCAGAGATGATCACATCCAAGCAGTCAATGCAAGCCTTAAGAAATTAAGTGCGATGCCTATCATAATAATTGAATGTAATGTGAGTTTTGCTGACCTATCGACAAACGGCAGTAAAATTGTGCTGCTGATAGCTAGCATAGCGCAGTGCTGATGATAAGATATTACAATTTCATGGGAGAAATTTTTTTTTGTAAATTTTTGGTGCAAATCCTTACATTACTCAAGATATGAACAAACTCGTAAGGCCAAAATCACAAGAAAAAAAAGTGATCGTCGATGGGTCAAATAATCCTCAATTTATATAACCCAAATTACAAAAAGAGTGACTCTCATTTACCGTTTTTTATCATTACCAGGATGAAAATAGAGATTAAAAATGACTTTTGACCCGCTTTACAGTTCATTCTTAATTAATGGTAAGTCTCTTTTAAGATCATAAGTTTTCCTCGTACAAGCAACCTACAACTATTGTATACATATTTAAAAACAAGCAGAGGTATTATTAACTAACAGTTTTGTGCATCAACGTGTGGGTCAAGCTCAAAATTCAACTTAAGTCTGGGATCTATCTAAAACTTAAGTGGTTAAAGTGTGACATATCGGGTGTCCCAAAGTTTTCTTACTGACCTAGGTTTAAATTACTAAGGTTTTTGATGGATAATAGGTCACTCTAGAGCCATGACGAACAAGTATGGCTACTTTATCTTTGACCGAATCTGTAAATAGGGGTCTCATCTTCTAGGAGCAGATTTTTCTTAACTTTTCTCAAATGCACAAAGGGAGAGAAACTAGAAATTTTGGTGCAAGTTTGATCTTGAAAGCTCAAAAATTGAAGGAGTTATCGAAGGGTAAAACTCCCCAAACATGTACCTCATTTGCAGTGTTTAAAAATCAATGCTCCTATTCTATTTTTTTAAAAGAAAAAATCAACATCATTCCTTCAAGTTTTCACAGAACTTTTTCCTTCAGAGTTTCATGGCAGTTTTTAAGGATTGATGCTGTGTGGTTTTCCATGTTAAAAATAATTTAGGACAGGAAGTAAACCAATGTCGGAGGTGCAATATCGTAAACCATGATACTCCGTTCGGGAGTTTTACTGTTGATAAGAGTCCTGAGTTTCAAGACAAAAATTTTTAGGTTGCAAGAAAATGTGGTTTGAAATTTTGATTACGGTTGGGGAAAATTTCCTCTTAAGAGATAAGGTCTCTTGGGGAAAATTTTCGCCCGAAAGATGAGATATCTCTTCACAGATCCAGTCATATTTCACTTATTCCTGCAAACGAAGGTCAAGAAAAAACGTTTGGCACAGCCATTGTGTTAAGAGTAACAGAACAATGAGAAAACAAGTTCTTGGAGACTGAACCAATCCACATTAGATGTTGCCACAGTAATGCTTCCAAATTTTAATTTTGCTTTTCACGGGGTTGCAAATCAGCATCACAGATATATTCCTCAAATATATTTCCTTGCAATTCAAAGTAAAGATGGGAAAATGACGGGATTTTTACTCTGTTTTCTTGAATCAAAGATGAATTACAAATTTACCAAAAAACTGCATCAGACAAAGCCTGACATGGATTGATTCATTCTGTACAGATTTAATAAAATCTAAAGATGAAAAATAAATTGATAAAATTACACCTATACATTTACAAGTTCAAGCCTTTTGGTAGTCCTTTAGTTTTACTCACAGCCATCAAACGTTTCGTTTTCACTATAAAATAATTAACTAGTCAGCCAAACAGCAGCAGCATTTCTGGGGGAAAATGGAATGTGAGTTAGTGAATAAAAAATTGGTAAACTTGAAAATAACTATTACTACTTTCATGGGTATTCTTCACTTTCTCATGTATTACTTACTTTTGTTCACGGGTGCAGGAAGTTTTTAGCCTTCTTGTTGAAGTAACAATTGAACATGCTACTGAACAACCATTTGACAACCATGTTTGTTAACCATATGTTTTCTCTCGTATAAATTTCTGTCTAACCTGAGAAATAAAATCTCTGATCTCCAATTTCCGCGCGTTATATTCATTTAAATTAAATAAATCATATCACTTCTCATTTTTCAAATTGGTCTTCCCATTTTAAATACCCCTTAGTTCCCTAAATTTTCATAGCTCAGATCTTTTTTTTGTCCTTGAGTCTCATATTGCTACAATTTCACTAAAAACAAAGCACGCAGATTTCGGCGCAATTCAACAAAATATATGTGAATTTCACCACAGTTTTTGAAAATACACAATTTTGATGCTATCGCAAACTAACCATCCAAACTTCCACGGCCTTTTCATTTTTCATTCAAGTGACCATGCCATTTTGATCATAGGATCAGGAATTTTCTGCACCCCTGCTTATATTTTCTTCCTTCAAAACGTAAAAAATCTGATAATGCAACCGTTTAAACCGCAAAATAAATGTGGTAAAATTCAAAATTGAAGACTCAGACTCACTGGCCTAAATAGACCACATTTTGCAATTAGGAACTATAAATTCCAGCTCAGTTTAAAAACAACATAAGTACCATTAGTTTCCCTATGCACACAAGAGTTTTTCTGGATGAGCAAGAAATTATAGTTCTTAATTGCAAATTGAAGTCCAAATGATGTTCGCACTAAGATGACTAAATTAACAGTTTAACTGAACAGATCAAAGAAATGGCTGCCAGAGGACACGGTGTGTAATTAAGGATCGGTTTGTAGATAATCTGTAGCCACAATTCTGTTGGGAGATAAACTAATTTTTACAGAGTGGATAAATTGATACAAACCTTATAACTCTATCCGAGAGAAAAACAGTTCTTGTCCACAGCCAAAGAGCCAAAAAAATAGGCCACGTCCTTAATGGATTCAAGAAAAGCGCCAAGTAACCTGAAAAAACATCCTCAAATGTTTCAGGAATATCGAAAAAAAGGCATGATTTCTGACGACTCTAAATTGGAATAAACAGTAAGGGATCTTGGAGTCAGATTCGCTTCACTCCTTGATTTTTTTCAAGTGAAATGTTACTGATATATTATTCAAGGCACACTAGCCCAAGCTACATCTCCTTTAAAGGAGATACATTACACATTCATAACACATTTACTTATATTTAAGTGCTAGTTTATTAGTACGGCACTTGAATATATATTTCAATCAATCTTCTGTAAAATAAAAATTGAAAAAAATATTAATAAATCAATGTACGACTGTCGAAAATTGAAAAAAGGATCTAGATATACACAGGATGATCCAAAAACCTGACCCCACCAGCACCAGGTATCACCTCTGCAACCTTTGAACACATTGAGATGAACATTAGGGCTCTTAGGTCAAAGGAAACGACTTTTTAGACCCCCTACTTATGAGTTCAATGCATCAAAAGACGATTCCATGACTGGCGCAACTGGCACATTCTCTGCGCTCTACCTCTCCATTTACCAAAATAAGCATAGATGGAACATCTTCACAAGAATATAGAGGATAAATTACAGCAGAGCTTACCATAAGCGAGAGAAAAAGAATACGCTAATGATGTTTGCAGAAGAAGAAGTAAGAAGAACAGCGTATGTCGGTTAAATATTAAATGAAAGGTGCGAGACAATAAGTTTCTCCTAGCTCTTGTTGGTGGATTCAGTCTAGTATCCAAAGAATAACCTATGATCACCGTCATTGGAACGTGGAACATGAAGAGCTGGAACAAGCAACAAAAAGATAACAATAAGATAGAGAAACTTGCAGGTTCATTTTTCCAGTGGCGAGGCGTGAATGATCAATTATCGATATTTCCCCATTTGAAGCTATGGTAAAGGATCGATATTTACGTGTTCGTGGCAAAAACCCTGTTTTTCGATCCTTTTCCATAGGTTTATGATCAATTGATACATTGCAAAGCTTGCCACACCGCATCTTTTGGTAAATTACATCTTATTCAAACAAATTCCGCTTATAACCAAAATCTCTTCCTTACTTCAAGATTACTTAAGCCATTTTTAGAATTATTTTGAATTCACTGAAAAGTTGGAACTGAATTCCTTTTTTTAACCCCCCTGTTACAAAGCTAGGAGTCCCGAGACGCTGATTCAGGCACACATTGCCAAAAATAAACTAAAGTTGTAGTTTGTATTAGTACCATCAGAATGTATATGACAGAGGCTTTTTTATGAGAGAATAAAATGACTAGAGGTAGATGATTCCAGGTTATGGGAATAACCCATAGGAGGTGCTAGCATCGCAGCAATCACTAAAACTCATGGTTTGAAGCATTTCTTCTGCCATTTTTTTGCAAGTTTTTCTGACTGAGAGGAAAAAATTTGCAAAATACGTTATCAGTTTCATCACAGTAAAATTTTTTATACAAAAGAGAGGAATCAGGACAAGCTGGCTGGCGCCAGCTAAAAATGTTAACCTACATCTATGCGGCATACAATGCACATAAGAGGCAGTTCCCCCTTAATTTTTTTTTCCTCTTCCGCCCAGTAAACATGCATGAAAAAAACCTGTTGTCGACAGAAAAATTCCCATGATCTACTAAAACCACAGAACACTACATGTCACTATTGACTTAGCAGAGGGTTGTTTATAGACCCTTACAAGAGGACTAAAAGAGAAAATATATTCACCTGATTGAAGCCATAAGCATACGTGAAACCTCCTGGTAGATATGTATGATTGACTAGAATGCCCCAGGCAAAGATAACTCCAATATGCCCTTCCACAATTTCACCAACACACCACGGGCCTGGAAACAGAGAAAGACCAAGAATAAAAGTAATTAATTATAACATGAGTAACATTTTCGGACCGATCAAATAATTCGCTTTCTTGACAAGCGTTGTAGAGACTAACTGGGGACAATGGGTCATTTATGCTAGTCACAGAATCGTGTTTAGATAAATTAGGCTTATGGATTACAAAAATTAATCAAATCCAGCCAGATGCCAAAGTACCTTCAATATTAACGAAGATATTGCTGATCAAAAAACTGGATGTATGGCGTCATCCGAAAGGGTAATGTTTACTATGGTTTCATCCGGTGGTGATTTTGCAGATTGGCAACAATGTCTTTCCTCCCTTGAACTCCATTAAAAACATTGATTTCAGGTGCCTTGCCAAGAATAAATTGTTTCACATACATTTAAATGGAGCAAAAAACAGAGTTACCAACTTTCAAACATCTGTTACTGGTTTCATCTGTTTTAGCATCGTTCTGATTTTTTGTGCATCTCTATTTAACAAATGTTAGAAGATCTAAATTATTTCAAAACTGCTATTTCCCATAACTCTAATAAAAGGTGAACAAGATTCTATTTAAAAGCATATGTGTACAAGATTCTTAGTTACATCCACAGCCCACAATGAAATACCATTTCCCAAATTTTTTGGCACCCCTAAGTAAGACGATAAAGCTGCGATTTTACTCCCTCCCCTCCTCTCTCTCTCCTGCGATACCTCAGAATGGTAAAAGTATAGCTACAATTCTTCTGCTCCAGGCTATATACACCTTATTTTCTGTGCTCAAGTAGGTAAAACAATGGGTAGCAATCTTACCGAAAGCAAGGAAAAGGGGATAAAATATGAGAGGGAAAAAGAACTGATCAATATTTCCCAATAGCCACAGTCTTCTGATCCAGTTTTTGAAAAATACAACACCAACGATTGGTTTCTTCATGTTACCATCTGAAAGAAAATATTAACACCTTAATGAGAGAATGTTTTTCTTCATAGACTAAAATCATCTACACAAACAAACATGATCATCCTATCCTTTTCCAAAACAATTGCATCAGCGCATTTGCTTTTAGTAGATATACTAAAAATATTACGTTATTGATGGCGTTAAAAAGTTCCAGAACTGATGCTGTAATTATGAAACTAGGATGGCTTAAGGAGATCTTGGTCTCATTTTAAAGCTTACGTCAGTCGTAATTGATTGGGATCAAAGTAATTTCATTAGCGCAAAACTTGCCGAAGTTATGGCAAACAAATGAGCTATAGCGATGATGAGATTAGTGAATGAATATCACCACATTTGACATTCTGATGGCCTACGTACAAAACTGCATGTTTCCTTTTGCAACGTTGCAGACTTCCTGTATTAACTCTTTTAAAAACTAACTTGCGTAATTTCTTGAAAATCTCTCTGATATTTCCTCTCTGTTGACACAATATTCTGTAAACCTTTCAAGCTATAAAGTTCGCTCGTTTCCCTTCGAGAAATAAAACCGGATCGGAAATTCTGAAACACTTCAATGGCAATATGTGGTTTTGCACTTTGACCGTTGATTAACTGTCTTAAGTTAGGATAACAGTTAGGCACTAAAAAGAATCCAGCTGAAAGAGTACAGCACTTAAAATTGCTTCGCTTCTTTTCCTTCATTTATTGAAAATAAATCTATGGGGAAAGCCCTGATTACTATCACTGACTTTATTCATAGAGGCACACTTTCTGGAGGATTAAAAGAGAATTCCTCAGTCCTTACTTTTGATTTTGTGGTCTATAAACCGCACCAGACAGAGAGGTATGATACTACTGACGATCATAATGCCAAACATCACTTGAAACTGTAACAGAAAGGTGAAAAAAAATTGAATTCGCTAAAAAATCAAGAGACATAATTATGACTGTTGGAGCAGATTTATTGTAGTTTATAAAACTAGTCAAATCACCTAAAAAAAAATAGTTGATACATATTTATCGTATTAACATTCTTACATAAAATGACCTGAAATTTAAAACATGAAAAAGGGGAAAATCTTACGTCACTTCTTCATGAAGTAAGCTAATTAGTGGTTTATTGTCGATTTCTCTTATTTAGGGTTGTTCATTACCCTGTCAAAATTGCTATCTTCTTGCTGACATCACCAATAACAATAGTTGTTTCCTCTGAAATCTTTTAAATGCATGAACTAATGAAGAGATTATTGCGCAACGTTTGACATGAACAAACACATTCATGAAGAAAACCATGATCCAGATACGGAGATCAATTGCAGATATTACCATTAGATACAGCAGATCCCATTTTAATATGATGCAACTTACAGCAACAAACAACAACACAAGGCAACATACTTACTGCTGATGAGAAATTTGCCATGAGCAAGAGCCGAGCAAAAAATCCAAACTTATTTCGAGGCTTGTCGAGAGCAAATGACTGGGACACTGACTGATCTCTACCCTTTGAGTCAATTGCATGCACCTGGAGAAGTTAGAGCAAAATGCACAACCAAAAATTAGAAAAATGAAGTCTTAAGCGACCATAATAATGAATGTAAAAATCATGTAACATAAGTGGAGTGCAACTGGAGTAACATTTCACAGGTTTGCATTGATAATGGCTGCATTAATTATGGATGGCCAAAGTGTGAAACCCTGTATGTCCCTTTACAACGTTGCTGGCTTCCTGTCATATTTTGTTTTTTCACTGGAAGACTAGTCAACGTAATTTCTTGAAAACTTCCTCAATTTTTTTTCTCAGTTACCAGAATATTCTGTGTAGACTTCAATCAATTAAATTGGCTTGTTATTCTTCGAAAAACTGAAATAGAAGCGGAAATTTTTGAACACTGCGATGGAGATATGCGATACTACACTTTAGACATCAATATGGACTGCGGAAGGCACCATACGGTCGGAAGTATACACGCTGCGGAAAGGATATTATCAGGCGCCATCGTAACTTTTTTATAGCAATTAAATGGAAGTTTAGAATGTGCAATTTTAAACTTGTATTTTGAAAGATACGAAAAACTTTCTGTCAACCACATCTAAGAAAGCTCATGGTAGAGAATTGTGGAAAAGCTAAATCGATCTCAAGATATAACTAAGACAAAATATGAAAATTTGAGGAGTCAAAGCTTAACTTAATAATAACTTACATGTATATCATGAAGACCACTGCTGAAATCATTGGGATTCCATTCTGCAACGTACAAAGGACCTTCAACATGATCACACATTGTCCATTTCGAAGCACTGTCAAATTTCATTTTAACCTCTTTTACATCACTTTCTGAAAAAACCAAAATCCTGTAACAAAAAAAGCATTCTTTACGAAATGATACTTTTTTCAGGGTAAAAAAGACTTCAATTTTTTAAGTGCTTATTTTATTTTACTTTTGTACTAACAAACTTTATCTTTAAACATCTTCATCTTTAACATTCAAAGATTTGCAAGGTTCTTTAAAAATTTTAAGGTGCTCTTCTTGCAATTGTGAAAGTGCTCTGGGTTTGTGATGATAGTTGTATTATTTCCGGGTCCAGCAATTTTGGATCACATTCTTTTTATTCATAAATTCATTTTGGGCAAATTCATTTTGGGCAAATTCACTTTTCGCGACTTGAAAAAAATAAAATTAACAAATAAAAAGGACTCTCAAGAATCATCTTCGAAATTTTTTGAGATTCAAACGCCAAAGAAAATTTATTTTGGAATTCAATATATCAGGAGATACTTCAACAGGTTCAGATTAAGTAACATGAAAAATGAATTAAGAGAGGAATAAATCCAAGACTTAAAAAATATACACACCAAGTCTTTTAAGAAATGCTTTTTATAAAACGTGAAATTAAGAATCTCACCGGACATGCGATGAATTCCGCAAGACTTCTATGGGCTCTTTATTTCCAATCATGTAGTTGACATTTTTGGGATTGGTGACTAAGATAACTGGCCACTGACTTAAATGCACATCCGTGAATGAGAGAAATCCATGATCAATTGCAGCTACACGGAACCTATAATCAATACAATGGGAGCCTTCAGAAACAGTCATAAAAATGGGAAGTATATGAAAACCAACATAATCGGAGAACATCTGACAGCAAGGCTTTTCAAATTTTTGTAAATAATTTTAAAACTTTTCACAAAAACAGAAAACTCTTCTTAAGTGATGGAAAAAGCTTATAATGGACGATGCCATAAAAAAGAAGAGAATAACTTACAAAAACTACTTACATCCGATTCTCCTTCCAGTCAATCAATTCAAGCTCTAGGAAACCCGTCTTTTGCAAAGCATACATATTGTGAACAGCTCCACCCATATTGTGTAAATGACCACACAGAAAAGCTAAAGATGCAGGGTCATCTCCGATGAATTCTCGCAGCTGATGGTTAGAAAAGATAAATGAAAATATATTTTGGTTAGTTTTCCATTAAAAACATAAAACAAAATCAGAAATTTTGAAACACTGAGTTGAAAACACGCTTTTTTTTAATCCCAAAAAATGAGTTGCTAGCAGTTTAGGTCATTCAAGTGCCAATCCAGGGAAAAAAGCTGCGTTCAAACAATTTACGGCTTCCAACATGGCATTTTAAGACAATCACTCACAACTTGCTTTTCCTTAGAAGGATGTCTTCTAAACTCCGAACATCAACAATATGACTAATTTGATTCATCACAGGGAAATTAATAATTAAATTTTGCGTACTGTGACACTTTTCTATTTCTTTTTCTATGGATCGTAACATATTGAACAATATCACTAAACTTGCTGATTTTGCTTGGAACAAATTTCATTATACTGACGCTGGACAAGGAGACAATATCTCAGACGTGACACAGCACACACAGATACAACACTTAAAGTGATGAGATGCAGTACATACATTGATCTGTAAATGGATACCTTAAAATCAGACGGAGAAATTATACAGGATGTTGGGTAGTGGCCAAACCAAATGGTATAGTGTTTTTCATCGACATCAGCTTTTTTCTTCAATTGCTGCAATAATTCTATGTCAGCTTGTTTCAATACACCAATAAAATTGAAAGGTCTCTTTGGTCCAGGCTCGATACAAGCATCCAATCCAATAAAAGAATATACTTCACCTTGTGAGCCGTGGACCTGGTAAATATAAGACCTTTGATGATCTTTTCCTTGTACTGAGTGTGAGCGGTAGAAATTATTTTTTGAGTTCAAATCCAGGACATTGAAGTTATCTGAATGAGGAAAATAGAAAAAAAAAAAATAAGAAATTAGAAGGTATGCAACAGAATTTGACAAGAGGGTATATCCCCTACAAGATTAATGGAGAAAAACAGTTATATCATGCAAAATTTGTTGAAGAGAGAACTCTTCTTAAATTTCATTTGCTTCCCTGAAGTAATGAAACTCAATCCTAAATTGTTGCCCCCGAGCTGAGTTTAGACCCAGTCCAGTAGACTGATTGTTGATATTTTGTGTTTGGTCGGTAGACATAGATGAAATAGGTGAAAAGGTGGGGAGTGATTGGTCGGCTATATCTTATTGCTGCTTTAATGTGCCTTTGTCAGGTGGAATGTAAGACATACTGTTGGAAACTCAAGAGGTGCCTTTAGTTTGTCATGAGTTCCACCTGACATGGGCACGATAAAGCAGGGATAAGACATAACCGACCAATCACGCTCCGCCTTTTAACCTATGTCATCTCTGTCAACCCGACAAACACAAAATTTCAACAATCAGGCTGCAGATGGTTTATTTTTTTACCACTATTCGTCAAACTGTGCCATTTCATCAAACAAGTTTTACTCGAGTTAAATCTGGTTTATCAAAATAGTTTTGTACAAGTTCGATCAATGTTTGCATATCTGAATCCAGCCTTCAAATTGTTAAACGAAATATTTTGGGCAAAAAAATATTTGCACAGTTCTGGGGACAGCATATTGTATATTTTTCTTACATTGGTAGAGGGAGAAAAAGGGGCAGGGTCCCTAGCCTCATAGCAGCCATTCGTCTACAAAGCTGCCAAACGACAGAGGAATTTCGATTTTTCGAAGTACTTCCCAGGGTACCTAATTTTTATTCATTTTTTTTTTTTTATTTTTTTGTTATTTCAAAGCATTCATAGTAAGTTCAACAGGACAAATTCTTGTTGGAGGCAGAAAATCTTTGAACATGGCGCATAAGAGTTGAAATCATCCTTACCTTTTAACACTTATTGATTGAATGCACACATCTTTGGATGTTTATTCAACTTCTCGACCAGCGCACATGTTGTTAAATTAGTAAGGCTTTGGGTTACTTTGGGTGGATAGCATTTTGAAGTGTAGGTAAACAAATTTAAAGGTATGAACTTTCTTGCGGCTAAATTATGCTTTTATCAGATAGAACACAGCATCCTACATGATCATGATACTATAGAAAGCAGAAATTAAGATGCTCACTAAGAGAAAATTACGAATCCTTACCATGATTTCCACGAATATCTAACCAAACAGTATTCTTTGTGACATTAGTTTCTTTGAGAATATCTCTGTAAATTATCCATTCCTGTTCATATTGCCCTGATCCCATGTTATCAGACGATTTTGCATCGGTTAGATCACCTGGAAAGAAAATGAAAAAATTGTAAATTATCGAATGGAAAAATAAAAGTATCTAAAAAGCTATAAAAATCAGCTTCTCCGCCTATCAAAAAACCAAAGTCTACTTGAACTGAATTAAATCTGACTATAAAATAACTTCAGAGTTTAGCGATTAACAGTTTTTCTCAGTGTATCATCTATTTCGACTCTTTGAAAAGTAGGTGTCAGACATTGAAGGCAGAGATTAATCTTTATGAAACTTATTCTAGTTATTAGCTGCTAATTTACATTCATTGTTGATGACTGATTTGACTCCGATCAATTTTGGCTTTTCGGTAGACGGAATGTTTGAATTTCCTGAAAAAATTTGCAGCATGATAGTCAGATATTCAATACTTTCTTTTAATTTTATATTTGCTGCTTCTCCAAGCATGTTTAAATATGAATTTCCTGAGTCTAATGTAACACTAAATGCTAGGATCCTATTGAAAAATTGCTTTTGGAGATTTTCTGCATGTTCAATGCAAATGTCTTGTGGTGCTTCAGTTCTTAAACTGAGGATATTCTTCATAGAAGGTTAGGGTGCAAAAGTGGCCTTTGAAAATAAAATCATTACCGTTAGCTGCCAGGCTAAGGAAAAACGCCTTAGGAGCATTCAGGCGTTACCATTTCTCCTTCAATAAAGAATGAATTTACTGGGAAAATTCTGAATGTTTTTCTTACAATTTTTCAGAGAATTTTGCTCACAATTGAATTAAAATATCTGAAAATTTCGAGGAAAAACATGCAAAACCCTCTTCAAAAATACATGATTTATTCAGGGAAATTTGGCAACTCTTGACTGTTCATGCAGTGTTTTTCCTCAGCACAGCAGTATAGGCTTCTATGGTTTGATGCATTAGCTTCATGATTTCGAACAATCTTCAAAAAAAGAGGTTCATATTGAAAACATGTCTGCATTCTATCTTAAAATTACTGTTTCTGAATTACATTAGTTTTTAATCAAAATACTGTAAGAAGACCATCGATAGAAACCAATCTTTGGGCACATACACATTGCAGATTAGACCCCTTCCTTTCTTTTTCTTGAAAAGTTGAAATTTTTATCACACTGCTTACTAAATGTGCAACAATCATCAACAAAATGGATTTCAAAGTCACAAAATGACAATTCAGTTTTCAAGTCAACAAAGCTTAATCCTTGAGGTGAAATCAGACTTTTGCTACCATATTTTTTGACAAGGGACTGCTGTAAAGATTACTGATAAAGATAAAAAATTGATTAGGAGGTAGTTTGATAGTTCGTAGGTGCAATATGGACATTTAAGAAATTATACATTACAGAGGATTCTTTGAGGAGGAAAATTCTTACCCGATGCAATGACTACTTTGGGCTTAATAGCCTTCACGGTGACAGAACAAAACTCTTTAAAATTTGATATGCGCGACTCATCATGGAAAATGCTCAAATGGATGTCAGTAACCTGAAACAGAGGAGATAAATATTTGGATACACATTGCTGGTGAAAATATGAAACTCCTCAGGTAAGTATTTCAGTTTTGGGGTTGCAAATTTTATGTCCTGTTGGAACTCCTTAGAGTATTAATGATAATTATAAGAAGGTATATTAAGTTTTATATCATTTTTCTTTGCTCACTGGTGAACAATCAAAGCAGAGCATGTTCTACATCCTGGACGGTGAAAATATGAGAAATTCTGTCATTGGCTAGAAATTGTGTAACCTCAACTTTAACAACCTCTGCAGAAAGATTTTGAGGATTTTTTAAATAGTTTTTCTATGAAATATTTCCAAATGAAACGGTTTCAGGTATCAAATGCAAGCTAAGTTCACTATGGCTCCAGGAGAATTGTTAGGTATATTTGAGAGCTACTGACCTGCACGAACCACAGAAGATGATCCATACCAGCTCCCATTGAAATTTCATTTTTCAGAGCACTTAATCGTTGCTTTTCAACACTCCTAGCACTTGATTCCTCCAAGGAGTAGATAGCAATTATGCTCAATATATTAGCGATGAAAATAGATGATATGACCACCATAGAGAGAGCAATATAACACGTCCCCGAGACTTGCATGTTATCTAGAGTTCAGAGATATCTCAAAAAGCAGGTATGTATCAGACTCTGTCGTAAAGAACAATTCCTTCATTGTGAGAGGGTCTAAAAGCCAAGCGGAGGAAAGTGTTTACATTTTCACCGGTTGGCATACAAGCTTCTCTTTTGACTAAATTCAGTAACTGTCAAGATTGTACACTTTTACAGAGATTACAGCATTAAAAACTTCTAAACCTAGAGTATTCGGAAAATGAAAGTTAATGCTGTTAGTGACCCTAAAGACCCAAACTACGATCTGATCATAACAAAAGAATAAAATTAGATGAGAAGAACGAACTTATCAAACTGAAAATGTAACTTCCACGACTGACAAGCAATTACAAGTTGGAGATGATGTAAGGAATCGATATCTCCAAATTTTGTTATCCTAAACAGATAATAAACGCGTTACATGTTCAAGGTGAGTATAAAAATCAAAACACGTAATTAAAACTAACCTCAAATGCTTGGAAAATTCACAAACAAAACAAAACAAAGAATCAAAACAGTGCTGTCAAATAGTACAAAAAATTTTAAAAACATTTACTTATCCTACCAGGTTCCTTTGACTTGATATCACCGTGAAACCAAAAGATTTCCAATTTTTCATAGACATAAGCCTTGAATTTAATTTAATTTTCCATTGAGATTTCATAAACACTTTAATGAAATTTCGGGTGAAATTTCTAATTCTTGTTTTTTTAGGAAATTTTCCATCTCTCAATCTTACGGGTTTATACGCTTCGCCATCTATATTACAGTGAAAGCTCGTTAAGACGAAAAATGAAGGGACCGAAAATAATTTCGTCATAAGCGGCTTTTCGTCTTAACCGCTTTCCGCTTAAGACGAAATTTTTCGGCATAAGCGGCAACTGCGCAACAAACTTAGGGCATTCAGCCTCCAAAATTTGGAAGCCGTTTTAATATCCGGACAGCTTTTAAAATCCACACAAACTAATATTAAAGATTATTTTAAGTGAACGGTAGATCATTTTAAGCTTTTAACTGAAATGACTTAAACGTGCGCTACTTAAGAGGGGAATCGGGTCTGAGCTTGCCTTAGAGGGCGAGGAGGGGGGCAGACGTCAAGCCCAGTCTGGCGCAAGCTTTTTTTTAAAGATCCATAAATTCCATTAATTTTTCCGATTTGCAAAAAAAAAGGAGGGGTCCTCCTTTTTTTTTGCAAATCGAACCCACCTACTTACAGTTAAATCACTGCATAGACCTGTAACACGGCGACCTCTCCCCCCCCCCCCCCCCCCCCCCC